GTTGTTCAGCGTCGACAGGGAGAAGGTGGTCAACGACCAGTCAAACCCGCCTTTTCTGGCGCAGTTAGCCCAGGCGGCGAGGACGGTGGCCACGGCGGATTTGGCGACGGCGTCCGACACCAGGAAACGGTAGTTCATCGTGTAGGGGTTGACCTGGGAAATGAAGCGGAAGTTGAAGAATGGGAGGATGAAGAAGCAGTTGAAGCGGTTTATGGCGGCGCAGTGGTCCGGTTTGAACATGTTCCACCACCGTACGGAGGCGTAGCCCAAGAACAGCGCCAGATATAGCGGCGCCATGGCCTCCACCACCTTATACACATCCCCCCACCCTATCATTTTCCTATAATATAATTTTTGAGTGTGTTTATTTTGTTCCCTTGGTATGGCATATATACTGGCCGGTATGGGGAATATATGCCATGCATTGTTGTGACACACACAAAACTTGTAACAGGACAACCTTACCAAGTTGGACTTGGTAATCACAATTAGTCTTCTTGGTTTGAGCTGGTGAGCTATATATGGACAAATTAGACTGGTTTATCTCATTGTGATTGTCTGTCAATTAAGTTATAATGCGGGATTTGTCCAATGCATACTTTCGAGTAATGACTACGAGTTTCTCACGTCACTCAAAAAAAATTATAAGTAGTGTTTATAGAATTACCGAATAATTAAAAGGGAAAAGGACAAAAGATCAAATAAGCTCCTAGACTTTATTCAAAAAGTCAATTAGGACATTAAACTTTCAAAAGTTGCAATTACATACACCCACAAACATGTTATTTTGAAGCAATGAAGCCCAATAACATGTTGGTGACCTGGAATTGCAGGTCAACTAAGGTTCCAGTCAAATCCAACGATTCTCCTGCAATACTCCAAATAATTTCCGATGAGCGATGACTAACATCGATGACAATCAAGCAGTCGCCAATCGTGTTTGGAAAAAACGACCAACTTTGTTGCCTTCTCCAGCAACTAGAGAAGGCAACAAAGTTGGTCACCTTCTCCGACGACGCGACTGGAGAAGATGACCAACTTGGTTGCCTTCTCCGACAACTGGAGAATTGAAGGCAACCAACTAGTCGCCTTCTCTAGTTGCCGGAGAAGGCAAACAATTTGATCTGGTGATGCGACCAAGGAGACCAAGGGAAAAAATGGTCAAGTTGGTCGCCTTCTCCAGTTGTTGGAGAAAGCGACCAGTTAATTGTCTTTTCTAGTTACTAGAGAATGCGACCAACTTGGTTGCCTTCTCCTGTTGCCGGAGAAGGCGGCCAATTTGATCATTTTTTCTAATTAAAATAATATAAACTTTTGTTGGGCAAAAAATAATGTTTAGTTTTCTTGTTTTCTTTTAGAATTAATTTCACTTTTGGTCCCACGACTTTTGAGTTCTTATCACTTTTGGTGCACAACTTTAAATTTTTTCAATTTTGGTGCCTAACTTTGTTATTTTTATCAGTTTAGGTCCTTCTAGTCAAATTGACGGTAAAATATTTCTAGATTTTATATTTTAGGGGCAAAATCGTCATCCCATGGAAAGATCTTCAATATTTAAACAAAAGAAAAATCAGATTAAGAGGAAAAGAAGAGTTTGCCAATGGTCGAAACTATAAATCCCATAGATCTGTCTGGTTTCTGCCCATCTTCCCCATTATTCTCATCATCAAACACCTATAGATATGATTTTACGGTGATTTTGTTTAGATATTGAAGATGTTTCCTTGGGATGACGATTTTACCCCTAACAATATAAAATCCAACAACATTTAACTGTCAATTTGGCCGAAAGGACCAAAATTGATAAAAATAACAAAGTTAGGCACCAAAATTAAAAAATTTTAAAGTTGTGCACCAAAAGTGATAGAACATCAAAAGTCGTGGGACCAAAAGTGAAATTAATTCTTTTCTTTTATTTAAAACATACAATATGATTGTCAATACATAAAGTATGTTATTAACTTTACTCTGAATTTATTAATCAACTAAGTTGTATCTCAAGAACAGTCTTTTAGGTTTGCTCTACAATTATTGGGGTTTGTTTAATTTGAAGAAGGAAAAAAAAAAAAAAAAAAACTTTTCTAACTTCATTTTTTCCCTGTTTAATTTCATTCCGCAAATTTTCATTTTATTTCTCCAAAACAATACGAGTCTCGCTAGAGTTTTTTTAAGAACAACAATCCAATACTCGCATTCTTCAAAAAGAAAAAAGTTAAAAAGTCTCTATTTTATAAGTTAAAAAAAAAAAAAAAAAAAAAAAAACACGCACATAAATATATTGTTTATTTTTAAAAAATCCCTATTTAAAAAATCATTTACTGAATGGAATTGGAAAATGATATATATATATATATATATATATATATATATATATATATATATATATATATAGAGAGAGAGAGAGAGAGAGAGAGAGAGAGAGAGAATGGAATTGATGCACCAAATTGAATAGAAGGTGGATTCTGATTCAAAAGCTGCAAATAGTCCGTGCATATAATCCTTGCTGCGTATGGTGCTGATGAATGAGTGAGTGAGATTACATATTCTCCTTCCATTCCATTCCTTGCTGCGCTGTCAACCCCTCTCTCTCTCTCTCTCTCTCTATATATATATATATATATATATATATATATATATATATATATATATAGCCTGGTTCTGATTCGACAGATCTGCACCATTAAATGAGCTCAGATCAATAGCTACAACATGCACGTGGCCGACACAGTGCACGTACATACACTTGGTCGTACATCACAGACCATCCCTTAGTGCACGACAGACAACACCAGCGCTTAATGCACCACATACCAGCATTAGGTGTTGTACCACATACCGACACTTAACGTACCACATAACTATACTTAATACACCACATAAATGATAAATATACTTGATGAATAAAATTACAAAAATATTACCACACTTTTTCTTTTTTAATCCAATGACAAATAACTAAAATATTAAATTTACATCACTATGAGGAACAAGTTATTCCAAAATTATACAAAATTTATCTAAACAACTAAATATAGGAAAGGCCAAACACTTTGTGCTCAGATGGTATGTAGTGACCTCTCTCATGTGGGCAATCATGAGATCGAGCCTCAGTGGAGGTGTTGTTGACTCTGTGTGCTTCATTAGGTTGAGAAAGTATGTTTGAATATATACTACAATGTGTGGTTAAAACCGCAAAACAATAAAAAGAAGTAACAAAACGTATCATTTGTTTGTTTTTTTTGAATTACGAAAAAATTTGTTATCACTATTTAAAAGTGCATAATGGGTAAATCATATTCCTATGTAATGACCAGGATTATGTGGTCTAATGGTATCCGGGTTGGACTTCCATTTGGAAGGTTGTAAGTTCGAGCCTCAGTGGAGGCGTTATTAGCTCTCTGTGTTGTAATAGAGCTAGTAGCATTCAAGAAAAAAAAATATTCCTATGTAATGACTTAATTACAAACTATATATAATTACGAATAACATGTGAAATAAAACGCATATTAACCCATACATTTATGACAATTGTTACGTGGCTATAGGCACTAATTAAAGGCAGGTTGAATTGTGACTTAAATAAGTTATTATTATACTTTGTTTTAAAGTAATAATATCTATTGAAAAGTGACAAAACAAATGTTGAGCACAAAACGTAGTTTGTGGGCAGCCAACAACAACAACACATTAAAAATACCAACTTCCTAATCGAATATATTGTTCTTCTGCTCCCATATATTGTTGTCTGGCATATATGCTTCCCATAGTTATATCTCATGCAATTTGCCTCTAAGAATTCTAGCTAGGGAGTATGGCTTGAAGGAGGGTTATACAATTAAGTATATATATATTAAGTGAGAATAGAAACGTACAGTCACTATCCGATAGTGTGTACTGAGTATCCCTTTGTGCTTATAGTCGATAAAAGATTACAAAAAGATAAACCAACCTATGTTGTTCATGATTGTCTGACTCAAACCAAGAAGGTCAATAGGTCACTCATGTTGAGTGTCTGTACTCCAAAAAATATTTCTCCCACCACTATGGCAAATTATGCCCTGGAAACGTGTTCACCATGAATGGTGAACACGGATCCAAACGGTGCCGTTTTTACGGAAAAAAAAAAAATCACTAATGTAGTGTTAACGATGCGCGTTTGGTCAGATTATGAATTTTCTGTTATGAGATTATGAATGTACTGTAAATTCATAATCTCATAATAGAAAATTCATAATCTCATAACAGGAAATTCATAATCTCATAACAGAAAATTCATAATCTCATAATAGAAAATTCATAATCTCATAAAAGAAAATTCATAATTTCATAACTGCACATTCATAAATCCATGCAATTATGAATGTGCAGTTATGAAATTATGAATTTTCTTTTTATAAGATTATGTTGAAGAAACTTGCGCGAAGAGGAAGTGAAACCGCAAAATGTGAAAATAAAGAAGAAAAGTCGCGCGGTTAATTAAGAAAAAAAATAAATAACGGTGCACGGTTCATGACATAAAGATCCCACCACTATGGCCTACATTGATTGGATGGAAGAGAACAAAAAAAAAAATAAAAATGGTGGGCTGCCCATAAAAACAACAATAATCAATCTATTTGAACTAACACCTCTTGGCATAAGTGTGGATATGATGCTAATTAAATACTTCTTTTTTCCAACATATAAGGGGATGTAAAAGCAAAGACTACAAAAATATGGATATAGGCCCATTTCATTTTGCCTGGGCCTTATTAGAAATCCGGACATAGGCCCATTTCTTTTTGCTACGATTTTGTTGACTTTTTTTTTTTGTTGGCTATGTTGCAATATGTAATATTTATCTACACATACTTTCTCAACCTAGTGAAGTACAAAGAGTCAATCTCCTAATAGGATTTAAACCTGTGATCTCTCATTTGAAAGAATCACGTACAGTTATGACGATTGACCACAAGATTTTTGACATTTATCATTTAAAAAAAAAACATATGTGACGGGACTGACAGTGGTAATGCCCGAGTTACCGTTCCCTTTGATCCAAAAAAAAAAAAAAAAAAAAAAGCATAAGTGAGGAATGCTAATATTAAAAGTTAATAGAATTACAAAGTTGTCAAGGCATCATCACAAATAGTAAATTATGATATTGCCCATGCCAAGATTTGTTCAGTATTAGTGTAGGAACCCCAATATTACGTAGTACGTAATCAGCAACGGAACAGAAACCAAGGTGCCAATGGTAACCCTGTCACATGTAACAAAAACGTAACGATCATTAGTAAAGTCATCTGAATTTTTCGACCACATTAAAAGTAATGTTAATGTGAATCGTTTCCTTTAAGGTGGTCGGATTTTTTTGATTATATGTAAGCTAAGGTGAAATTAATTATCAAAACTTGAGTAAAGTACGTGGAGGTGGACTTACGCGGTGCTGAGAATGTCTGCATGGAGTCCATATTCTTTGGCGTAAACGAAGGATGCAAGAGATTGAGGCAGTGCGGCCTAAAAGTTAAAGAAATTATGGAATATAATAAGCCAATTATATATGTTGCATGCTTGCCTAGTTAGACCATTAATGAATGTTTAATCATAATCTATAATTAAACTGCTTTTAATTATGTAACAAAAGATATGATGTAGCTTCAAAAGCGGTGACTGGGTGATAGAAGCATGATTCTCATATTGAGAAGTCACGAGTTTGATTCTTATTGTCAATACCTTATCGGTCAAACTCATCACATAGGGTCCTGTGTAGTTCGTTCGTCAGATATTACAGAAAATAGCCTGTGTGCTTTGAACACTATTACACAAGACCCTCTCAGTCGAGCCCATCATATAGGACTATTACATGCATATGACTCTTACACAGTCGAACCTGACACACAGGGTCTTATGTATCATGTATGTGCACGGTAATTTGCAAACTATGATACATAAACTGGATTACCGTGTAGGCTTGTGTGTGGTTTACAGGCTATTGCGCAAGAGTTAAGTATACTATATATATATCGTAATTTTGAATAATGATTGCGTGTTTTTTTGAGAAATAAAAATAAAAGTTTAGGAGCTTAGTGTAATCATACCTGGATGAGAGAAATCCTTAGGACATCACCACGCAAACCTAAAACGAGACATCCAATTAGCGTGGTTGCTGGTCCGACAATGAACCTTAAAACCATCGCTAATGCCGTCACACTTGCACCACACTCAACTATGTTCTCTTGTAGTGCAATAAAAAGTCCTGCACATCCGTCACAAAAGGTATTAATAATAATACATTAATCAATTAATTATAAACCTAACCATATTTGTTTCTTAATATAATAATTAGGTTCAAGAAATAATATATGATATATATACACGTAAGCACATATATACCCATGCTAAACATGGCAACTCCACTCCCAGCCTTTGACATGATCACAATAGACCCTTCTATTATACTTGGCAGCTGCAAATCCCACCTGGGAAAAAATATGTGACCAATTAAGCAATATAAATTTCATTAATTTTTGGACCGTCAAAATAATTATTTTATCGAGTTAATTTGTTAGGTAAGGAGAGAATCTGAATCTCACACTCACTTATTAAGGATGTACACTGAGTAAACTCTACCAAGTGGTGACAAAGGATCACCAGCTCAAACCAATAAGGCCTATAGGCCGCTCACATTAGGGGTGGAACTTTTAACTTTTGCCCTGTTTGGTAACATAGTTAGCCTATCGGTATTTGATTAATTAGCTTAGCTTTTTGTAATAGCTTATTGTTCTAAAACACTAAAATTCAAAAAGCTACTCAAAGCAGTTTTTTGAGAAAGTCATTTTACATCTGATCAGCTAATTTACCCAATCATCTTTCTACAATTCTACCCTTAGCTAATGCTATCAACTAGTTAAACCCATTAGCTCAATTAGTTAACAGCTATTTATCAAATACTCACTTTATGGTTATCAAGTTAATAACCTAACCAACTTGGTTGGGGTATATGGAATTATTTTGATTTATATTATATGGTTACCTGCTGGCCAAAAGAGCCCAGAAGAGGCCAAGAAAGCATGCATAGGAATTAGGATTCTGAGCAAGATTAGAGAGAACGGGCATCATTAGTGACAAAACTGACGTGGATTCCGTCACGGCAGAATCGTCACTATAAGTGTTAGTTTCGTTATTATTATTAGCTTCGACGTCGCCGGCCATCTGAACGGAAGAGCCATGCGAATCTCGGGCGGCGCCGGCGCCGGCGACCCGGGACGACGTCGTCGGGTGGGTCCGGGTGAACCAGAACTGCAACGCGAAGAGGAGAAAAGTGAACCAAACGAGGTTCTGAATCACCGCCGCCTGGACGACGAGGTCGGCGCCCAGGTCGCCGTACATGGCCCGGAGCAGCGGCACGCCGACAATGAGGGTGTTGGTTAAGGTGGAGAGAGAGAAGGCGGTGACGGAGCAGGAAAGGCTGCCTTTCTTGGTAAAATTAGCCCAGGCGGCGAGGGCGGCGATGACGAGGGTTTTAGCGACGGCGTCGGCGGAGAGGAAGGGGTAGTTGAGGTGGTAAGGGTTTATGTGGGCCATGAACTGGAAGTTGAAGAAAGGGATGACGAAGAAGCAGTTGAAGCGGTTGATGGCGTCGCATTGGTCGGGTTTGAACATGTGCCACCGCCGGACGGAGAAGTAGCCCAGCGCCAACGCCACGTACAGCGGCGCCATCGCCACCACCACCTTATACACCTCCTCCCAACCTATCATTATGGCAGGCGTAGTGGTTTGTATGGATGAAAGAATATGGTTTGGTTTGGCTTCCTTATATATATATATAGCGATCTCATGCAGCGCGTTAGTGCATGCTCTATATAGAACTATGTATACATACATTCTTCCAAAAGGTTGAACCTAACCCTAAGGGCCCCACATCCCGATCCGACAAAATATTTGGGAGGATGTAAATTATGGTAACTCAACTGAACATGAACCACAGATGTTAGACATTTGCTTATTGCGCAGAAGAAGCCCTCTCACTTTGAGAGGTTGCTCCCACCAGGGACGGAGCCAGAGGGGGGCAGCTGCCCCCACCCCACTCCCACCCCATATATAATTGTTGTATGTATATATGTATATATAGTACATGTGTTAGTATTAGTAAAATAAAACTATTGAATATTAACCGGAGTTGATTTAGATTAGTTGGTTGAGCACAAGTTGAGTTATGATAAAGGATAGGGGTTAATCGAATTTCTGGCTCTGTCCCTGGCTCTTCTGAATCCGTCCCTACTTCTTTGCCCCCTCAACCGAATTTCTGGTTCTGTCCCTGGCTCCCACACTACCGCTTATGAGACTCGATCTCTGGTCATTCTTCCAACATACATACATATATGTACGCATGCATGTACATATATATGGATACACCCCTTGGATCCTAGCTGGTAAAAATTATAAGGAGATAAACCAGTCTAAGTAGCATAGTGAAGAAGTACAGTTGAACTTGAAATCTTACAATTGTCAAACTAACTCTCCGATCAATTTGGCTGTAATTACACTCGCTTATAATGCACATAATATTAGCATATACGATGGCACGATGGGCAACAAATTAGGTACAAAAATCATGCAATGCCCCACCCACTTGATTAAAATTTCGGTATGAGAATTATGTTTCACACACTCAATCATTCATTTTGATGATGATGAAAATGATCATGATGTGAAAGAAATTAAGCATTCACGATTACAAATGAATGAACTAAAAAATGAGTTGTGAACTACCATGTAGTGTGATGACATATAGATTATCATTCTAAATGAGTGGTCATAGGTTCGAACTTCGGTGGTGGAGCTTAGATTCTTTGAACTGATAATGTTTGAGAATAGAACAGATACTATCTTGTAATTCTGAGTATTTAAAAAAAAATAAAAAAAAAAACTAAAATGACAAGTATTATGACAATTATGCAAGAATATATTAGCATATGCTTGATTTGAGATTATTATATTACTATAATAAGGTAACAGTAGTTATATAAGGGCATTTACATGTACTTATCAAATCACATGATAATATAATATGTTTTTATTCGACCTCTTTCTAATAGCTTCCTAAATTCTTCTTTAGATAGCGTCACATACGTGTTCAGGAGATGAATATAATGGCAAAACAAAACAATATATAAAGGATTTCACTCTTATGACAATTGACAAATCTCGTCCTAGCTTCCATCTTGAGGAATGGATAAAGTTTGTTAATCACGGCACGACAGAGCATTTGGGAGGGTGTAAATCACGATGACTCATTGGCGTAGTAGGCAGAGCCAAATATCAGTGTGCACAAAGAATTTGTCCACTTTAAGCATAATCTTCACATTACTATTATCGAAGTTTGAACCTTGGACTCTTCTTTCAAATACTGTACTGAATCAGTGAGCTAAATCCGTGCGGACAACGATTAAATTGCCTAGCGACATTTTTGTGTGTGAAATTATACCCCCATACACATTGGCATATATAGTAACCCATTATAAATGGTAATGTATGTATTGAGTTGTACAAAGTAAAATCAGTATATACTTAAAGTTTTAAGACTTTGCACCAAATTATGATTCAATGAATTAATTTCTCATTCTTAAAAAAGACTTTGCACCAGATACAAAGAGGTATGATAAAATTAAGAATACTACGTTAATTTGTTGACTAAGCTAGTGAATTTGGCACATGATTCTGGATAGCTTGAACACTAAAATAGCCAACTGATTCTCTGTATATATTCTAATATAAAATTTAAATTTAAAAGAAAATTTGTGCTTTATGTTGCGTTTTTTTTTTTTTTTTTTTTTTTTTCAAATTCTATGAGTAACTCTATGGTTAGTGGGTTAGTGCACATAGGCATGCTGGCATGCATCGGGTGATTCCGTGCCCAAATTTGAATGTTCCCAAACACGTACTAATGTAGCATGCCTGGAACATTCACTACTAGTCGAATCCAAATAAAACACAAATTTATATACCATGGGCTTCTAACAGCTGGCTCTATATATATTCTTCCTTTTGGGTGGAGATACAAATGGTCTAGTCTTAAAAGAATCCCGTCATTAAAACATAACTGTTACGCAATTATAAAAAAATGTAATTGTGCATTAGTTACTGTCAAGATCTATCAAACACTTACCACTACTCTAAAAACTATAGCTAGTAGCGAAGACGCGATTTTATTTCCTTATACTTACGTAATAGTCAGTGTCACATTTCGATGATAGGATGTTAGACTCGGTTCTCCAAGCCGTCACCCAATAGATTTTTGTGTAATATATAATAAGTACTTGATCCTAATATCTTATGGGTCAGGTATGTTTGCATGGGCTTCATGGGTTGAATGTGTGTATGTAGGGTCGAACCCGTATGATTTAGGTTAGGTTTATACGAGACTTCAGGTCACTTATCTTGATTATTGCATACTCAATCAAATTTAAAACACAATAATTGTAACAAAAAAGTTTAGCATAACCGCTAATCACAATATAATACGATGTCAAACATTATATTTTAATAGAATAGAATCAATATATGTAACAATTGAAGCAAATGATAATTTTTTTTTAGTTAAAGTTACTATGAGCATGTCACCACCGGTAAATCGTAGTCGCTTATAGGTGACGGTGAGATTCAAACCCATGACCTTTAACATGGCTCTAATACCAAATTGAAGCATGTGTTTCATCTCAACTAAAAGCTTAAGCTGATAGTTGGCTTGCACAAATGGTTACATGCTCATAGTAACTTTAACTAAAAAAAAAGTTATCAGTTGAATTATCATTTTCTTCCGACGTTACCAAAATTAATGCATTGTGAGTCATGGAAATTAGTACATGCGCGTGAAGGGAAATGAAGGTAACTTAGTGGAATTTGGAATGTCTGATTGAGCATGAAAGCATTTTAGGTTTTTTTTTTTTTTTTTTTTTTTTTAATTTTTTAAAGAAGCATTTTAGTATTATAGTCTCCGTAGAATGTTGTACGAGGGAGGTGAGGTTTGGTGGAGGATAAAAAGTAGTGGTCATCAGGGTTTAATTTGGTTGTATTGGCGGAAAGTGCATGGTAAACACTATTATATTTAAATGCCTAACTTGTTTGAAAAAAAATATATATTGAAACATGATGTATAAATAATATAATAATTTGGTGTTGCATAGTTAAAAATATTGTTTTATATTCACAGCTCGAATCGGCATTTTATAGTAAATTTAATTTTAATTTGGTTTTATATTTAATTTTTTAAAAAAAAAAATCAACTAATCAAACAAAAATAACTACATCAAGGAGTAACTATAAATTATGTGATTTTTGTAAGGCTATAATATTGCCGCATGAGGTGACAAATTCTGTCAACATTACATTAGCTTTAATTTGTTATATATTTAGAGTATATATTTAAGGAAAATTTTGCAATACCTTTAGAATAATGATACTTTAATTCAATACTAGAAAGTTGTTAATGTGTTTCCCTTTTTTTCTTTTGATCACTTTTTCTTTCTTGTAAGTAAACTACTTCAACTCCATATGACCTGGTAGTATTGTTGCATAAAGTGACTTTCTCAAATCTCTCAAATGGGAAATTATCAATTTGAACCTCAGTGGGAACGGTCAATAATACACCAAAAAAAAAAAAAGGTTACGACCTTGTTTTAATGTATGACAGAATCAACTTTTATAGCATGTTTGGTTGAAGAAATTAGAATTTCACCCGATTAAACTTAATTTACACCTAATTTTGAAATTAAGTAATTCTATTGTTTGGTTGCATCCCTCCTCCTCCCCCCACCCCACCCCACCCCACCCCCACCCTATTTCAATTCTACATTGATTGTGAAGAAAAAAGATATCATTGAGACAAATTAATACATCTTGAGACAAAATTACTCTTAGCTTCTATGATAATTGTTTAAAGTAAGTATTTAAAAAGCTTACCATTTTATATGTTTAACTAAGTTGTGTACTTTTATTTTTATGATCTTTTCTTACTGTAAACTTATGAAACTTAACATGACATAGTTAAATAAATTTTAGGGGCTATTAAATATGTTTTAGTGATACAAGTTTATATCCAAAATGTCCAAATACAACTGCATTGCATTATATATATAGTGTTAATTTATACAAATTTACTTATTATTTAAGATTAATATAATAATAATAAGTATGGATATTTTGATTTTTAAATTTTCACCTTATTCCTACACTATTCTATAAAAATGTAATTATTTTCCTCCATAATTCTTCCTGGTAATCAAAGGCCTCGTATTATTTCATTCTCAATCTGATTATGACACCTCTATCCTAGAGTTTGTTGAAATCCCAATTCCTATTTCAGCTATTGAAATGGTTTGGTAAGGCCGGTACGGTGGTGCGCTAAAAACCGGTCAAAAGCGGAGGCCGCCACGGCCTATAACCAACGGCGGCACCACCACTTAGCGACTAACACCTAAGAAAGCAGATCGGATCGATCATATCAGAGACCTTCCACTACAGTCAAGTCGAGACAACTGCAGATATACGTGGAACGGACCACCCGAACACCAAAACTACCTAAATTTGTCTTCCACTCCATTATTTATATTAAGCAAAGTTAATAAAAATTTTTTTTTTTTTTTGGGTGGAACTGTTAGATTAATAACCACAAAGTTTTAAATTTAACTTTTTTTTTTGTGAGAGTTTTTTATTAGTTTTCTTGATTTGAATCAGTCAGATATTTGTAATCTATGCTGATTTACTTGTGATCTTTTGATGGCTAAGATAACATAAGTTGGTTTATCTCGTTGTGATCCTTTGTTGAATAGAATAACCTAGACTGATTAACCCATTATAGTCCTTTACCGATTAGGGTAACCTAGGTAGTTTACTTCATTTTGGTCCTTTGTCGACGGCTAGTGTAACCTAAGCTAGCTAGTTAACCTCCTTGAAGTCTTTTGCCAGTTAAGATCTTCTAAGCTGGTTTACTTTCTTGTAGTCATTTGTTGACTAGGGTAACCTAGGCTAGTTTACCTCTTTGTAAATTTTTGTCTACTAGGATAACAATGTGAACTTTATCCATACCTTCAAATAACAACTTGCAGGCTTTCCCGTAAATAAAAAAATTTAAAAATATGATTTTAATTATCTACATGAAAATTATCAATTAAGGTAACATATGATAGTTTACCTCCTCGTGATTCTTTGCCGGCTATAGTCACCAGGCGAACATCACCCATAGCGCACATTCTAGTAAAAACTATGGATTTTTTCGTAAATTAACAAAAAAATAAGGAAATGGTTTTATTAGGTACATGGAAATGGGTACTTTGAACTGCAGATTGTATTTTCCATTCACAAAAAGTTAACAGTTCTTTAATTTAATGATTCCCTTAATATACCTTTTTCTTTTCATTAGTTTATCACTTTATCATGATGATGATGATATCCCTACAATATGTATGTATTGCTTGTAGTGTTCCCACACATATTACTTATTGTTATCTTTGCCTTTCTAGTTGCCATTATACACAAGCAATCTCCATTTCTACAGTGTATATTCAGATTTTTTACAATGGGAAATTGTTTTTGTTGGTTAATTTAGGTCAAAAAGTAATAGAGGTTTATTGGTGTTTGGAAAAATCTTGAACTTATACTTTTGTTTCTTTTTGTTGTATTGAAAAAAAAAAATGTAGTGTAAAACTATAGTTTTTTGTGTAGTAGGTTAATTTCAAACCCAATAGCACCACTAAGTATATACATACAAGAAGAAGAAAAATAGGGATTAGCGGGGGCTCAGTGACTCGAAAAATTAAGAATTGAAAAAGTATTCGGTATTCTATTGTTCAACGATGTTTGTTTTCACAAACTAAATAATATAATGAAATATAATTCATATTCTATATATTATTTATCACATTCCTTATATAATAGAATTTTAATTTTATTATTTTTACTCCGTAGAATTTAAACATAAGATTCATTTTTTTTAAACCAGCTTGATAAATTAATTTACCTAATCAAATATTCGCTTTTACATAATACATATAATGTATGAGGCAAGACGCTTTACCAAATGTTTTGCACATAATTAAAAATATAATGCAACTATTCAAACATCGAACCCTAAACTTGTGTAGAACGAGTTCAAGCATCACATCATCTTCTTCTCTTAAAAGGTTAAATCTCTAACTCCAAGGACTCCTACACTCCGACTCGACATAATATTTGTAAGAATGTAAATTACGATGACTTAATGACTCAGCAGACATGGACAAATGTCGTGGTGTAATTACCTCAACTGTGTAGATTATTGGGGGTTAGATTAATTAGATTATAGATTTTTTATATTGTTAATTAAGATAAGAATTGGAAGATGGATGTGACAGAATTAAAGTGGCAAGGTGGACATGACATGTATAGATTATTCTTATTCTTATATTGGTGGCTTGTCCAGTCATGATGATATATATTTATTCTTCTCAATTTACAATTTAATTAATTTGTTCTTAGCCGTACAATTCTTTAGTGCATGCTTCTGTAATTGCATATAGTTCCTGAGTTGCAGGGCTCTCTTTGTCTCTTTCCTTCACTTTTTTTCCATGATTCAAAAATTAAGAAAATTTCAATTTTGATCTATAGAGTTGTTAATTATGATTCACAACTTTTAAAATAATTAATTTAGTGTCTTTACTATTCAATTTTTTATCAATTCAACCAAATTGTCGGTCAAATTTCACCAAAAATTTTTAATTTACTTTATTTTGTTTAATCACAAAGGCAATATAGCCTTTTTACACATTCTTCTTCTTCTTCACATACACATTCCCTTCTCTCTTTCCCTTTTTTTTTTCTTTAATTCATAATTATTATTTAAAAAAAAAAAAAAAAAAACATGCATTATATATGGAAAGTATATCACACAAAATCAGGATATATCTTCAGATTCCAATGTCTCTTTTAACTCATTTCCGTCTGGGAGCAAAACACGCCATGTTTAGGGCCTGCGTGACAACATATACAGTCAATTCGAAAGTAAGAGAATTGGACATGAAGAAAAAATAAAGGTTGTTCTTTTCTGACTGGTTGGGGGATCTCCATGTTATTGGAGGAATCTGAATCTCCATCCTTAAAAGATTCGAATCTCTTTTTTTACAACTCAAAGGTGGATTTCAAGTTCGCCAAATGGTTTTAAATTCTTCGATCCCCACCTGTACACAAGAAGTCTTCATAATCACATAGACAAAAGACCAAATTGTTTTAAAATTGTAAATGGTCAAATAGACAAAGGACTAAATTGTGTTAAAATTGTAAAGTTAAGGACTTAATTGGTTGAAATAAAAAATCGAGGACTAATTTGTGAATTTAGCTATAGTCGAGGGACCATTTTGAGTATTTACTCTTTTCCAAATTCATGTAGTGTTGCAGGTCCAAGATTACGGCAAATTATGCTATGCGCACGTGCGCACCTTGCAAGGTGCGCATGGCGCTAAAACGGCGTCGTTTTTCGTGAAAACGACGCTGTTTTAACTATAAAAAAAAAAATTTGTTCGAAACGCCGTTAACGGCGTTAACGGCATATTCGTTATGAAATTATGAATATACAGTTATGACATTATGAATGTACAGTTATACAATTATGAACATAGAGCTTCGAAAATTATGAATGTTCGGTATGGAATTATTAATATACAGTATGGAATTATGAATGTACAGTTATGGAATTATGAATGTACAGTTATGGAATTATGAATGTACAGTTATGGAATTATGAGTGTACAGTTATGGAATTATGAATGTACAGTTATGAAATTATGAACATAGAACTTTGACATTATGAACTTACAATTATGAACATAGAGCTTCGAAAATTATGAATTTACAGTTATTGAATTATGAATGTACAGTTACGGAATTATGAATGTACAGTTATGGAATTATGAATGTACAGTTATGGAATTATGAATGTACAGTTATGAAATTATGAACACAAAGCTGTGAATATATGCTCCTATAACGAAACGGTCTGAAATTAAATTTAAAAAAAAAAAAAAAAAAAAAAAAAAAAAGAAGGAAGATAACGGTGCCTGATGGCACCGTTATCCGTGCCCATGAAGCACGCTGGGCACGAGCCCACAGCATAACTATCCCAAGATTACACTGGATTGGGCCATTGGAAAAAGCCCAATAGGGTTGAGTTAATTAAGCAGTCCATATTAGGGCAAAAAATTGGGTAAATTTGGTCCAGTATACAAATGGGCTAATTTTTTAAGCTAAAAATGGGCTTTTATAGCCGTTGGGCATGCGAGGCCCTCTGAGAAAAATGGCGACGAGTTTGTTTCGTTCTCGCGCTATCCACCTCCCAAACGCCGCCGTTCTCCGCCTCTTCTGTTCCACTACCGCCGCCGCCGATCACCACCACTATGAATTCTCCTCCGAGACCGACGCTCTCAAGCCAACACTCCCCGAAATGGAGCCCTCTACCGACGCCGATTTGGTGTCTCAGATTCTCCTCCAACACCACAACCCCTTCCACCCCATGGAATCCGTGCTTCAGCTCCGCGGCATCGCTCTCTCCCCGTTCCTCATCCACCAAACCCTCCTCCGTCTCCGACACTCCTCCAAAGTTGCCTTGGCGTTCTTCCACTTCTCGCAGTCCTGCCCGGGTTCCCCCCTCGACGCCACCGCCTTCAATCTCCTCATCGACACCCTGTGCAGAGTCCGGCAGTTCGACGCCGCGTGGCAGCTCATCATTCAGATGGAACACCGGAAAATCTCGCCCAATTTCACAACATTTTATCTTCTGATTCGGCGGCTCATAGCTGCCGGGTTGACTCGCCAAGCCATTCGCGCCTTCAGCGAGATGTATATTTTTATCGATGATAACGGCGAGGAAGACGTCTGGAATTCCTACTTTTGCTATCTCCTCGACTCCCTCTGTAAGTACGGGTACGTGAGAGTGGCTACTGAGCTGTTCAACAAGGAGAAATGGAGGATTAGTGTGAATTGCAAGATATATACAGTCTTAATATATGGTTGGTGCAAGGCGAAGAAGATAGAGATGGCGAAGTCGTTTCTCGGGGAGATGATTACCAAAGGGATAGACCCGAACGTGGTGACGTATAATGTGTTGTTGAATGGGATTTGCAGGAGAGCCAGTTTGCATCCGGATGGGAGGTTTGAGATGGTGATCAGGGAGGCAGAGAAGGTGTTCGACGAAATGCGGCAGAGAGGAGTCGAGCCTGATGTTACCAGTTACTCAATTTTACTCCATGTATATAGCAGGGCACACAAGCCCGAGCTTTCCCTAGAGAAGCTGAGGATGATGAGGGAGAAGGGAATATGCCCCACCATAGCCTCATATACATCAGTGATCAAGTGTCTGTGTTCTTGTGGGAGGATTGAGGATGCAGAAGTGTTGCTTGAAGGAATGGTGGGCAGTGGAGTCACCCCCATAGCAGCCACTCTCAATTGCTTTTTCAAGGAGTATAGAGGCCGGAAAGACATCGATGGGGCATTAAGGTTGTATGGTAGAATGAAAGATGGGTCCTTGTGCTCACCTAGTGAGACCACATTCAACATATTATTGGGGATGTTTGTGAGCTTGGGAAGATTGGGGCTTGCTAGGGAGATTTGGGACGACATGAAAGGCGGCCCCATAGGGCCGGATTTGGATTCTTACACCTTGATGATTCATGGGCTTTGTAAGAAGAAGAGGTGGAGAGATGCTTGTGAGTTGTTCATGGAAATGATAGAGAAGGGGTTTCTTCCACAGAAGGTTACATTTGAAATGTTGTATGCAGGGTTAATACAGTCTGATATGTTGAGAACTTGGAGAAGATTAAAGAAAAGACTTGATGAGGAATCCATAAGTTTTGGCTCAGAGTTTGAAGGATATCATTTGAAGCCTTATAGGAGGTAACAATCAGATAGTCCATGAAATGCGTGCTTGAGAGTTGAGATCCACACTATAGAACACACTTCACTTCTATTGAATGTGTTCTTTGCAAATATGTTTACGGGTGCGAAAATTGGATGGCTTCCAAGTTCGACAACATCCAACTTGGCCTCTACGACCGCCAAATGGCATTGCTCCGCGTTGTTTGGTCTAGGTTCATGTAGTCTTGGTAAGGGATTCAGAAGCCTGAACTGAAGCATTATGGATTTATGGTTGTTTTCAAGAATGGTATTTTCTTGCCTACAACTTCTCTAGAATACAAGTATTGTAGGATTGAGATGGAATAGCCACACAATTTTATACTATTTATCTCTCATACTTGTTGTCACATAAAGATTGAGGCTTTTGCTCAAAAGCCCTCTCCTTTTTGTACCTTTCTTTGGCTTTTAATGAAGCAGCACATCTGCACATGGCTACAGGATTTGTTGGGGATGGATCAAGCAACATTGTCTTTTAGTTTTTACACAGGCAATCATCTCTGCAAGAAATCACCATAAAAGCCAAGATTCTACAAGGGAATCTTTTGAACAAGCCAAGAATCTGACTGGGACAAGAAGAAAGGAACAAGATTCTGGGTAGTTCTTGAATTAAACTATTCCACAATCACATGGGCATTGGTTCATCATGCTCATCGAAACATGCTTTACACTTTACGAAATCCGGGATCCAAATGAAAAACCTAAGGACTTCAAATTGGAACATGCTCATTGAAACTATTTCACGATTACATGGGCATTGGTTCATCATGCTCATTGAAACATGTTTTACACTTCAAATTGAAACGCCAATGAGGAACAAATGGGTATATAGCTTTCATTCTTTGTAAAATTTTCTAGAAGCATGTAGGTAATAGAGATCTATGGAATATTCTAAAATTTATAGAACTCATAGGTTAGTGTAAAGATTTATGGAGAGTTCTAAAGATTAATTTCGGGCCGTAGGATCTAGTAAATATTCACCATCAGTTAAAGAGGTGAAATTGCTATAAATATGGGGACTCATAACCATCAATGTATACTCTCCAATTGGGATGAACCCTCAGAACAAATAAAAAATAAAAAGTAACTAATTCTCATTTCCATTGGAATGAACCTTCATTGATATAATTGTTGAAAGTATTCTCTATCAAAAAGAAAAAGAGAATGTTTAAATTTGCCAAAAAAATCTTCTAATTCTGAAACCATCTATAGAGGAAGTTAGACATAATCAAGTAAAAGGATCAATTCAACATTAAAGAAAGTTTGCCCCTAAGTTTCATTCAACTACTAATGGAGCTAACAATCTCAAAAGCAACTTTTGGAAAAATTCAATTCTAGTACGGATGCAAACGTATTCTGTTCCAGTAAAAAACAATTCTTGGTTCTATCAATTGGATCTTCAAAACCCTATTACAATAAATGTGGAGGTAGGAAAGTACATTGAAAGTATATTATGAATATGTTAGATGTATTATAAAAAAAAAAAAATACAATATAAAATTCAACATAAATTATAATCAATTAATTAATTAGACTATATACAGAGTATTCAAACTTGAGCATCAAAAGTTACAAATAAGAAATCTTGAAAATCATTTTCTTGTATTTAAAAAAAAAATTAGGTTTTTTTTCCTGATTAATTAATCTTGACAAGACTCAATATTTTAATTATGTTTTTGCATTATTAGAATGATTTAGGTTATTATGGTTGATGGAATAATTACAGAGCGGACCTGGAGCGAAGAAATATGGAGCGGATCACACCCGGCACCGAGTGGACTACGCACGCAGCTGGACAGACCATGGAGGGGTCTACCTCCCCGGGGTCCTCGATTACTACCACGGGGTCCTCGACTACTATCACGGGGTCCCCGGCTACTGTGCACACGGAGTGACGAACCACCCCGGGGTCGGCCAACATGGGCTCGGCACCCTGGGGTCGGCCTACGTAGGCCCGGCCACCACAGGGTCGCCCGGCGCACCCCGGGTCGGCCTACGCGGGGTCGGCCACCCTTTGGGGTCGGCCCGGCTGAGCTCCGGGCTCGGCTGGGACGGGGTCCCCGCGTTGTCCGAGTCGTGCTGCGGCAGTTGCGACTCCTCCCGCGTACCCCAGGCCACGCTTTGGACCCGATCCTGAGCTAGGACGCGGTCAAAGCGCCAGATCCAACCATCCCCAGTTTAGGGGGAGCGGTTAGAGGTATGTAGTATATAAAAACCCCTCACCTTGTCCTAACAAGGGACACTTGATTTCTATCTTCTACTTTTCTAACAACACTTGTATCATTATTACACGTTCTGAATCTCTGTAATAGCATTATACACTCGATTTTAATACAATATTTATCATTTTATTATTTGTTCATCATATTCAATCATATATACGGGTTGTATAATCCGAACCCCCGGGTTCATATAATCCATCAATGGTATTAATATATTTTTTTGTCTATATTTCTATAACGGTACAATTTTACATTACATATTTTACAAATATTGTATTATTATCTGACAAAATTATTCGTACATCATTAAAATTCCACACATAGTGATTTTATTAATAAATTATTTTTTTGAATGCTACTAGCTCTATTATATATTATAGTATCTGTTCATATACTTTCTCAACCTTCTCGACCTCACAACCTTCCAAATGAAAGTCTAACTCGGGTACCATTGGACCACATAACTCTGGTAAATCAAATCAAAATTTAGAACGTGTAATATTGAGAATTACTTTTCCACGGGAGTAACAGCGCACATGTTATTAATTCACAGCCGTAAAATATTGGTTAAGTTAAAGTGATTTGACTGATCAGATACGATGTTTTATGTTCAGGTGCATAAAATTGTCCAATTTCTTTGTTTAATTTAGGCGGACAATAATTATACAATGATGCAATATATATCATTTATTCTTTGTTTTTATCCATTCATTCTTTCGAAAAGGTTGAACTCCAACCCGACAGAATATCTGGGACGGCCCGACAGAGCATCGGAGAGGATGTAAATCATGGTAACTCAACTGAATATGAACCACAGAGGCTAGACCTTAGCTCTCTGATCATTCTTTCCAAACTTATTCGACAAAATAAATTCATAAAAATTAAACTCATAACTATTCAAATATAAGAACAAAATACTAATGAATTTATCTCTCATACTTGTTTTCACATAAAGATTGGGGCTTTTGCTCAAAGCCCTCTCCTTTTTTTTCCACCTTTCTTTGGCTTTTAATGTGTTGGGGATGGATGAAGCAACATTGTCTTTTAGTTTTTACACAGGCAATCATCTCTTCAAGAAATCACCATAAAAAGCCAAGATTCTACAAGGGAGTCTTTTCAACAAGCCAAGAAAGGAACAAGATTCTGGGTAGCTCTTGAATTAAACTATTTCACAATCACATGGGCATTGGTTCATCATGCTCATTCAAACATGCTTTACACTTGGACGAAATCCGGGATCCAAATGAAACAGTACAAAGTGTACCAAAACTTTAAAACCCGAGGACTTCAAATTGGAACCGGCAAGGAGGAGGTCATTAGCTTGCTTACCTCTCATCCAAGACCAAATGGGTGTATTTACAAGGAAAATCCGCTTTAAGAATGTCTCTAATCGAAGCTCGAAGATCGGCTCCATCTGCCCCGCAAATAATCATCTACAGATATGTTTTGGTCGGAGCTAGTAATCGAGAGGGAATCATCCTCCAAATTTAACAATGCAAGATTAATAAAAGATTGGATGCTCGATGCAGGCTGTTCACCGCCAACTTCATCTACTTCATCGCCACTATTGAGGTTTTGCCTCGCCCATTGAATTGTTTCGGGCTCACCTTCGAGAAGTTTCACAACCTGTTTGAGTTTGCACATGCAAGCAAAGACGATCTACTTAGCAATACATCGGGTGAAAAACCGATGAAAACTCAGTATTTAACCTAAGTAGTTCACTTACAATGTCAATTTTAGGACGAAAAATAGGTTCTCTTCTTATGCAAAGCGTCGCAGCCAAAACCATTCGGTCAAACTCATCGTGGTCATATGCATTAAGCAAGCTCGCATCTAGCAATTCTGTAGCTTTTCCATTCTTCAGAATTTGTTTTGCCTATCAGAAGTTAGAAGTAAATAAAAACCTAATTTCCCGAAAGACATAAAGATAAATCAATTGGATCCGATTTCCAATTCAATGAGAAAAGGAACTCACCCACAGCACCAAGCTTTCTTGGCCCTTGGCATTTGTGTTATCAATCGGCTTTTTACCCGATAAAAGTTCGAGCAGGACAACACCTAACGCGTATACATCAATTTTCTCGTTTATTTTTCCATGCACAAAATATTCAGGAGCTAAGTATCTGCAAAGCGGGAAAGGGTTATTACTTATTAACCAGATTCGTAATGGATTTGAAATTGAAGAGACGAGAATAAACTTACCCAAACGTTCCAGCAACATCAACACCATCTAAGTGGAACGAAGAACTCGAAGCCGATGTTGCAAGCCCAAAATCGGACAGCTGAAAGACCAAAAATAAACGTTAATATCTCCTCAATGTCGAACAAATAACTCCTCCAAAGAAAAAAGGCAGCACCTTTGGCTCGAAATCGTTTGAAAGGAGAATATTCGACGATTTTACATCCCTATGAATCACGGGTCCATTAGTCGAATTGTGCAAATGGTCCAACGCCTTTGCAACACCCAAGGCAACCTTGTATCTATCCTGCCAACCAAACGAACCCCCGACGTTTCGAGTACCTAGTTCAAAACATCATAGTAAATCAGCATAGTATAAACCAAAATGCATCCTCAAAGAAACAAAGCATCAATACTATGAATACCATGGAGGTTATCTTCGAGGCTTCCTCGGGATAACAGATCGTAAACCAACAGAAGATTGTTTTCTTCAAGGCAGAACCCGAAAAGTGAAATAATGTTTTCGTGATGCAAAGCTGTAAGAGTCTCTATCTCGGAGCAGAATTGCTTCTCCAAATCTTCCGAGGGCTTCAAAATTTTCACTGCCAGTTCCTTCCCGTCGGGAAGGCATCCTTTGTAAACGTTACTGCTGCCCCCTTTGCCAATCAAATTCTCTGAAAGTAATAATCATCAGCCCGAGAAAGCAATAAATAAAGCACGTTGCAACAACCAAAAGTTCGATAAATTAAAGCTAAACCACACACCAGACATGAAATTAGACGTTGCAGACAGAAGTTCTTGGTAGCTAAACAATCTGCAAACCGACGAATACTTTGCACAAACGCCCTCCAATTCCTTGGAAATTAGAGAGCCAGCGTGACTCGGGACGGGTACAATTGCACCATTGTTTTCATCAGAATGGCACTCGGGATCTCCCGATATAATTTGCTTCTGATCGGGGTAGATAGCCGGGAAAGATTGTCGCCCTCCTCGTAGTTTCAGAACCCATTGTACTACAGACAACTTTTTTGCAGGAGAATTTCCAGAATCTTTCTGGGTTTGAAGAAAAACCCTTCTAAGCAATGTCCACCCAGACTTTGTTTCAGGCACATTCACAACCCTCACAGGAACCAAAGCCAGAGAATTAGACTCAGCACCCAAAGGGCTTTTAGTGAACATCTTCCTCCTCTTAAACCTTGATGATTCTGGCATTTCCTGAGGGCAAAATTCATGGCCAATTGAAACATTGGGTTCACTTTGGAAAGCCACTTTCCCATTATTAACAGCAAGAACTGAGATGCTCTTGTCAACATTCCTGGCACAGTACTTTGCAACTGACACCGGTGATCGGACGGCGTGGCGGCTGCCGGAAGTGCCCACTATCAGATCCGTAGCTCTGTAAGTCTTTGCCTCCCGGGCAAGAATTTTCCGGGCCGGAGACCCTCTGCACACCCGGAGCTTCAGATCAACCTGTAATTCAAGATTTGGGAAAAAGATGAAAACTTTGAGTGCCCATTAAGGCTAAGATACAGAGACTGTTGAGATTATGGGACAGACAGTAAAAAAGACAAGATTTAGAACCTTCTTTTATTAATTGTGAGACATACCCATTACCCAACAGAGATTGGCTGGGGACAAGTGTAGTCAGTGAAAGAAAATGGTTAAAAAAAAAAAAAAAAAAAAAACAATCTTTATAAGAAAATGAGCACCTGCTTCAAGTTGCAGAAGCCTTCATAAGCAGCCAGAACGGAATCAAATGTCTTCACCAGTCTTAGCATCTCCGATTTATCTGTCGCCGAGAAGAAACAGTAAGAATTAGAGGATTTGGCCGACAGGCGGTTGTGTCATGAAATTAAAATGGTACTCCGAATACTAAGAAACGAATAAAGATGATGTTTTTTTTTTATGGGAGAGAGGTTCGCACCGGTGTCGGGATCAAGAACGTGGAGAGCAATGATGCGATCTCCGGTCTGGGCTACCTTAACCAACGCCCAAGTCAGAAGCTCTTTGCTCCGAGAATCCATTTTCACTCCCACCACCACCACCGCCCCGCCATTGCTACCACTGTTAGCAGTACATTCCGCGGCGGCACAGTTTCCGGTGAGCTTCATCGTCGGTGGTGCAACGGCGTCGTTTTCCTTTCTTCTAGGTTTCTAGGCCACCCACCCCCTTCTCTCTCTCTCTCTCTCCTCTGTCTGGGAGAAGAGAAGAAGAAGAAAGAGACTTTTGCTTTGTTTGTTCTCTCCTTCTCTCTCTATCTCTCTCTAAAAGGGCAAAAGTGCAGTCATGAGTAGATTCTGGGTTGTGTCGCTCGCGGGAAAGTGAAAAACAAACAACCAAGGAAATTATGGAGCTTACCTTAATCGTGTCGGAGACGATTAAATAACTAATCCGTACTTAATGCTGAGTAATCATATGCTGTATGCCCACCTATCTTACTCTTATGTGCTCTTCTAATAATAAGGTAACACATCCAATCCTCAAAATTATAAAAAATTAAAAATAAATAAATATCAATATCATACCTACTTGGCTACTTGTTGAGAATTAATGGGGATACTCTTAAATAGTTTGTACTAAAATATCTGAATTTAATATACGGGTTTAGGGTTAAATGTTAATGTTAATGTCTGGTCGGATAATTACAAGTATAATTTGATAGAATTAATGGTCAAAAGTCCCCTCTCACGTGCATTTAATGTGCGTTATATAGGTGAAGATGGGGAACACATGTTGGGTTCTCACTTGTTATTAGGACTATGTATTTGAGTCATATAGTAACTAGGAGTATGAGACTCTAGGATTTGAGTCCTAATACTTGTCACGTGCCAAAAGTGGATTCCGCGGCGATTTTATTACGACAAGGTGTTAACCATTCACATGATTATGATGTAACAACACTTTCTGATCGGATTATGATCATCGTATGGCTTTTGGATGCCTATTTCACTCTTCCCAAATTGGAATCGTAGACTTCCCGATCTGATGCCGATCGGGGCTCGATTAGTATGAATCTTGGGGGCGATTATCAAACCTAATTCAAGTAAAGTGAGATATATTACCTATCAAATGACTTGGTTATAAAATCACTTAATTAAATTATAGTTCTTTGAATATATATCAAAAATTATTATTTTATGGAATATAACGACATATAATTTTATTAGCTTTTAGTATAAACTTAAATAAAAATACAATGAACACTAAACGTGTGTGACATTCATATATATTCATGTTCTACTCACTTAGTCACTCCTTTTTAGGTATTATTATTATTATCATTATTATTATAAACTTTATAGTCGTTAATTGTCCCTAATCATATGATTTAGATTTGATTAAGAAAAGTATTCATTTGATTAAGGAGGGTATTCATTTGACCAATTAACTAAACATGTAATCATGTCCACTCCAATGAGTAATAATTTGCACATGTGATGTGATTTCTTATCAAATTAAAATAATAACCTATAATAATGATAATAACAATAATAATCAATTAGCTTATGATCCAAATGAAATTATCAGAATTCGATTCTCCAAATAAAGTTTTTATTATAAATTTCGTTAATAGAATAGTAAGTATTTCTCTGTATAAGATCTAACTGAAATTTGAGTCCATATTAAAAGAGGTTATGATATAGAAAAAATCAGGTATGTATAAAATTTGATAAAAACTTGAGTTAAAATATATATATATATATATATATATATATATATATATATATATATATATATATATATATATATATATAATATTTTTTTAAACAAAATGGGTATGTATCGTAGGTTTTGATTTATTATTTAATTTACGGGAAATATCACAACAATTGCTTGAATGTGTGTTATGGATGAAACTTTCATTGTTATGTATTATTATATTACAAATGATCCCCGCATTGTCAGTTTAGTTGGTCACATAGATGAAGTTTGTGATCAAGTCTCACCAATACCAGTGTGGGAGCAACCTCTCAAAGTGAGAAAGTGAGGAATTCCTTATGCGCAGTAAACCAATGTCTAGTCTCTGTGTTCATATGAGTCATGAGTTACCCGCATATATGTTCAATTGAGTTATCGTGATTTACATCTTCACATATTGTATGTCGGGCTGGGTCATTCTTGTGGTTTGGGATTCAACCTTTTTAGTAACAATATTACAGATGATATTAAATTTGAGGTGTTAATTGGTCTAATAAAGTTGTGTTTTATCGTTGATAGAAGCAACCTAGCTAGTATACTAATGTTGCTTCCACAAGGCAGCACCAATCCTATGGACTATGGAATAATATATTAAATTATTAATCCAATTAACAATAAATTAATTAAAGGAACAATTTGGAATATATTAACCAACAAGTAGCTAGCTATCTACACGTAGTAATTTACTAAATTTATAGAGTTAGCATTAATAAGTTAAGTGGCAATTTGACAAATTGATGGCTTATTTTTATTTGATCACATATTTTATTAATTAGTGAACTATATTTGATGGATACTCCCAAGTAAGGTACCCAATCAAGATTGTACCTTGGCAGTCAAGGTTCACAGTTTGACTATGTTTTTGGAGGACGAGAGGAATCCATAAGGCTGGGCCCTAGTCAAGGCGTACAACCCATTCGCCCCGGCCCGGTGGGTTGACCAATGAAGGCAGCCAATTCGGATTTTTGATCGGATGCTATACACAAAGGCGGTTAGAGGGATCTGGCTGAGATTTCTTCCGGATTTGGCACGGGATTTCCTTTTTCAACATTACGAAAGGGGTTATGAATTCAATTATAGTGCAATTACTCTATCAACTTTCTCACTTAATTTTTACTTATTATTTTACGGTTGTGTTGGCCCACCGTCTGGCTACCCCGTGGCCATGAAACCAACAATATTCATACATTGACATTAATTTTATTCAAAGTTTTAACATAGTTGTATTCCCAGAGTTCGAACTTAATACTTCTTATTAAGTTTAAAGATATCAACGTCATTTCATACATATCTTCATAGAGTCATGCGTCAAAGTTGATGTTTTTGTTTTATTTGAGCACATATCTTATTAAATATTTAGCTGGAATCATACATCGAGATTAATCTTATTCGAGATTTTAAAATAATTATATTTATAAAGTTTGAACTTGATACCTCTTATTAAGTTGAAGACCGATATTCGTGTCATCTCATACATAACCTTATAGAGTCATGGGTCAAATATAATTGACAAGTTGATGGCTTTTCAACTGAGTAAAAAATGGATTTGTAGAAATAATTTAACAATGTTCAACTTGTTCAGTTTAGCCATGTAATAGTTGGATGAGCAAAACGGCAAAATTATATATTATTTTTTAAAAAAAGTCAAATACTAACTTTTACACAATGTAACAAGCTAAGTTTCATCAAAACTTTTGTTTATGAAAATTAAGGCTATAAAAAATATAATATAATATATGATCAATATGTTGAATACAAAAATTAGTACCAAGCGTGTTTATTTACTGAAGTATATAATAACTTACTTTTGTATAAATTTTTATTCACACTAAAAATCATTAAAATTTAACTTTCGACATACTCAAAGTTGTATACTAGCTATAGCCTATTATTCGTATGTAGACTAGTGAGGAGCTCATTGTGCACAGTAAGTAAAGGTCTAGCATCTGTGGTTCATGTTCAGTTGAGTTACCATGATTTACATTCTCCTAAATGCTCTGCCGGACCGGAGTAATGGGGGCCCTTAGGATCGGAGTTCAACCTTTTGGAAAGAATAAAAATCGGAAATTTCAAGTTTTATAATATTAAAATTTTTCTAGAGGTTATTTATCTCTTTTGGACAATTAATTTGATTAATGTGACTTTATTGCAGTTTATGTAATTGTTTTGATCACTATTTTTTTTTTTTTTTGGGTATAAAGTTGACTAAATGACTAATCAACCAACAGTCAAACACAAAAATTGATACCTCTACCAAACAAGGGGAATGACACAAGATGCCTAGTTAAAAGTATTCAATCTTGGAAAGGGTGAAAAGATGTGGAAAAAGAGGTCAAAATGGAATAATAACTTTTCACTTATTATTTAAAAAAATGATTGCAATGATGCATCATCTACAAGGACCACAACTCTGTTCATGACTTTGGCATCCCATTTGCTTTTCACCTAAAAAAAAAGTGTGAACTATACTAAAGGTTCTCACTTTAATCAATAGTGTATTTTTTTTCTTATCCTAAATATTATGTCTTGGTCTAACTATATTATAAATCTTATGAACTTGTTTTCATATCTATATAAAAAAAAATAAATATATTTAACATTAAAATTCACATCAGAATTTATTTTTATGGGCACAAAAAACTAACCCAACCTCAAACATAGACAAAATCGATAAAATTTATCTTCAGATCATATAAGATGGTATTCAAACTCCCAGCATTACTATTGAAAAAGAGTTTTGAATGTGGATGCTCTTCCACCAATGCACTTCCATGGGGCATAATGTCTTCTTTTTTTATTTTCTTTTCTTTTTTTTTTTTTAAATCTACCTCAAATTTTATAACTTTGTTGAATTATATTCTGAACCTTAAAAATTCACTCTAGTTCTATGAGGAGATAAATTGAGTCTATCTAATTTTGAGACCTACACCAAACCGTACTCTTTTGATCACAAAGAGTCCAAACTAACTCTAAATCAAATTGTTGAAGCTCAACTTCAGGTCATTTGAAGTAGGAGTTCAAACCCCATCCTATTACTAAGAGTTAATTACCAAAATGGTCCCTTGACTATAGCAAAATTACCAATTTGATCATTGACTATTTTTTTTAAACCAATTAAGTCCCTCAACTTTAAAAATTGTAACCAATTTTTGTCCTCTGTTAGTTTGACTGTTAGTCAATCGTTAACTTGGGACCAAATTGGTAATTCTGCTATAGTCAAGAGACCATTTTGGTAATTAACTTTAGGGGTAGGCAATTCGATTTAATTTTCTCGAATCGAACCGTACCGAACTAGTTTGGTTCGGTAATATACAGAACAACCGAACGGTATTGGATTCTTGTATACCGAACGGTTCGATAAAAAACCGATCCGAGCCGATCCGAATTGTTCAGTAAAAAATTGAACCGAACCGAATACCGTTTGATTTTGTTTAAAACAATATAATAATAATAATAGTTCTATATTATGTGTTATGGTGTTTACATAGTCCATATCCAAAGTCTAATATATAACAAAATAACAATCCCAAGTTCAAACGGTATTCAATTCGGTTCAATTTTTACCGAACAATTCAGTTCGGTTCGAGTTTTTACTGTACAATTCGGTATACAAGAATCTATTACCGTTCGGTTGTTCGGTATATTACCGAATCTAACTAGTTTGGTACGGTACGGTTCGAGAAAACTGAACCGAATTGCCGACCTTTAAAGTTAATTACCAAAATGGTCCCTTGACTATAGCGAATTACCAATTTGGTCCTAAGTTAACGGTTGACTAACGGTCAAACAAACAGAGGACCAAATTGGTTAAGATTTTTAAAGTTGAGGGATTAATTGGTCAAAAAAATAGTCAAGGACCAAATTGATAATTTCGCTATAGTCAAGGGACCATTTCGATAATTAACTCTATTACTAATTTTTTTTTTAAGTGTAGCTGCTCATTCACTAGACCAGCAGTGCCTCGAGCATATCTTTCTTTTTGGCTTCTTCTTCCCAAAAGGTTGAAGACCCAACCCCGGTCCAACAGAGCATATGAGAGAATGTAAATCATGGTAATCCAACTGAACCACAGAGACTAGACCTTTGCTTATTGCACATAAGGGGAGGTTGCTCCCACACTGCCGCCACATTGTGGCTAGTGAGACTTGATCCCTGGTCATTTTTCTCAAACTTAATCCCTATTACCAGTTGAGTTGCCCATGCCGACCTCTTTTTTACTTCTTAATTAATGGTATTGGTGGTCGATAGGATTTAGGTTTTTACCCAAATGGCCAAACGAATAGATGCTGGGTTTCTAAGACTTTGGGTTGACTGAGGTTTGGTTGGTTCCTATGTGCACATTTGCATACAAAAACTCTACTGTGGACCATTGCAGTGTTGGCCCCTTCACTGTCACACTCTACCTACTCTCCTGTCGCTTCGCTCGCAGCCGCCGTAATGCTGTAACAGCCTGTTTAACATCTTGCTGCTGTTAAATCACATCCAAATCCCAAAACCCTCGTCTAAGTGATAAGAATCTTAGAACCAAACTTCTAATAATTATATCTGTTAGATATAAAATACAAGTAATCTAACCTCGTAACAGAAACAGAAGCTTTAGAACGATCAGAATGTATATCTTACCGAGTTGATATCACCATTCGTGTTGCCTTCAGAATGATAAACATATAAAGAAACATTTTGTCTATCATTTCTCTCATAAATACTAGATGGTGTAGTATATATTCCAACTACAGAAATCGGGAAGGACCGTTTTGCTTAGAAGCATATGTGTCATCATTATAGATAGATAGTCAGTTAAAATTAAACTAAATATCTAAGTTATATTATTTGACTAAGTCATATACTTGCACCACAAACACTTAAATAACATATAAATAATATTATACATTTATACCATATGAAAATTTCTTACACTATCGTCCTAATCATAAAGTCTTGACAGAGAAAAAATAAAAAACTTGTAGTCCCTATAACCCACAACCCGTTATAAAAATCAAATATTGCATCGTGTGCATGTTAACAAAGTAAATCTATTAACTTCGTTGAGCCGCAAACCCTCAAATAAGTTTATAAGTCAAATTAATTACTTATCTAATACAAATCACGCATAATATATAAAACATAAAAAGTTATGACAATCATCACGCACAACAAATAAATTTAAAAAGTTACTCGACTCATGATTATGTGCTTATACAATGAATGCCCACAGGACTGCAGACTTGGCAGAGACATTCCCAAAGAGAAACACCCAAAAAAAGAGAAGGAAAGGGAAAATGGGGAAGAAGTGACAGAAAACTAACATGTTGTGTAGCAAAGATGAGAGGCAAAATTTATTAGTAAAATTCATTGATTCCCATGTTAGGTTGTTGTAGTGAGAATCAAAGCATGTGGTCTCTGTCTGGTTGCCCCTAATCCTTAGACACTGCCAATTCAATTGGGGAGTGGATTCATTGCTTGTTTTAGCATCACTTGACTTAACATGCATGTGAATCCACCAATTGATCTGAAATTAGGGTTTTTTTTTTTTTTTTGGTGAGAATGGCTATGGCCCCTAAATCCATTCCATCAATGCTCACATGCTTAATTGGAATGGGATTGAGACTTTGATTTAGATATTGTGGCTTAGATGGATTGTGGATGGGTGGTGTGCCCCATTTGTTTGGTTAATATTATTTGTTCTAAAAATTTTGATTCCAAACCCCACATTGATCTTATCATAGGCCTAATTTGTTAATGTGTAACACCTTACGCGTATCTATGTTTCAATACTCTTGTTAAAGATCCCGTACGTATTCATAGTTGGAAAATCACCTCACTTCGACCATCTAAAAAATGAATAGAGATTAGCTGTTTTTTTTTTCAACTGTTATGAACATCATCTAGAGCAGTCAAAAAGTCCGACTAGCCATCAAAAGTAGGTGATCTAAATTACATAAATATATCCCACAACTTTTGTCGATGATCAGTGTTACCGACCACTTTCAGTGGGACGAAAGATTTTTTGAATCTCTAGAGTGGTTGAAAAGTCATTTTTAACAGCAAATTCTAAGTTTCCAACCACTTTCTATGGTCGATGAAAATCTCGAATTTTCAAACCACGAATATAACAGCTCAGTTTGTGACCCCTCTAATATACCCCAAGAAAAGAACTCCTCAATATTTACTGTCTTTTTTTGTTAAACACATGATAATGTGCATATATGGATGTGATGAAGTTGAGAATGAAAACAAGATGGTGGAGTCACCTTTGACCACTGAATGGCAACCTTGTTGTATGCTCAAGATTCTTAGCAGAGTCCTAAGATGAGAGTACAGATGAAAATATGGCCCAAAACAGACATTATTTGTGCTCATATATTTTGATTCCTAACCCCACATTGATCTTATCATAGGCCTAATTTGTTAATGTACATTATGTGTACCACCTTACGCGTATTCGTGTTTCAGTACTCTTGCTAAAGATCTCATATTCATGGTTGGAAAATTACCAGTTATCAATTACTCGTTTTCGACCAGCTAAAATACATAGATAGAGATTAGCGATTTTCTCAACTTTTCTGAACACCATCTAGGGCAGTCAAAATTTCCAACCAGCCATCAAAAGTAAGTGATCTAAATAAATGAAAAGTATGCATGTATGATCAAGATTCTTAGCGTAGTACAGATGAAAATATGACCCAGAACAGACAACACCTACATTTTGAAGTTTACACAGCATATCCTGGTTGTTTCACTTGTCTGGTTATTCCTAACAACTCAGGAATTCAATTACCAACAAAATCGTAGTATATATAATCCCCCGAAATTGTAAGCATCCAGTTTGTTTCAATCGTTTGAAAACCCGTTTTAGTGGGAGAAAATGAGCATTCATTGGAATTGTCAATATAAAGATTTGCGTCCTCTCCAGCAAACACTGGTATGAGCTCAACAGGAGAATATGGATTGAAAACCAAACCAAGTCAAAAAGAAAGATGCTAGAAGCAGTAAAGTTCCGCTTCAACAACTGAGGCCTACGGTAAGAACCACAAAGAGAATTCATTTCATGAAGCAACTCAAATTTTTTTAAGACAGCCATATTTGCAGCAAAAGCATGAGAAATGGCAAGTCTTTTCTATTTATCCTCCACCTGTTTGTTGAGCATATAACCATTAATGTGCAATCTAACTATCAGTTTAGGCTTTTAGTTGAGATGGAGCAAATGTTTCAATTCTGTTGACACATTCTCCTGGACCAGCTCTTCCCAGGTTAGCCCATAGCATTTTGGAAATACAGAACAATAAGCAAACCGCCTTTTTAGATTCAAAGGGAGATGACGGTAACTCAATTTTCAAGACATAGAACATAATCTTTCTTGGGCAACAATTCCATAAGGTGCTATTCGATACTTCATTCCAATAACCAACATCCAGTTTAGTGGCTGAGACTCTGAGAGACCTCCTAGTGTCTTAACAGCTAAAGACAATCCTCTATGCCATCACTCTATCCGTTTATTCAACTAGAGTAACCTTTGGAGTTGTGAGCTCCAAAGGCATAATGAAAGAGTAGCCCGTCCTTTCTGTCAGTTTGTGAGGTGAATGTGCATTCATAACTGGAGCCCCAACCACGAAAGGGATCAGTAGATCATTCAATGCCCATAGTTTTCAATCCAAATATGATCCAAAACAATTAAGTAATTCTTTTTGTTCACTACATGTTTCAAACGACTTTGAAGTAATGGCTAGCTCAATTGGAGCCTTTGTCTGTTTGTCATATTCATAACACTGAAATGATGTCATCAAAAGCTTCTTCAATTCTTTTGTCATTGTAGACAATCTGAGCAAGCTACTCCTTTCAGCAGCAGCCCTCGAGAATTCGATTAGTTCCTTTCTACATTTCTTCCATAAACATGGGATTCTAGTAGCAATGCAGTACTTGGAAACCGATATATTTTTTCATGCCCAGATTTTCCACTACTTATAAACCAAAACAATCCTTCCACTTTGAAATGTATTCCAACTTGTCAACTAGATCTTAATCTTTGACTAGTTATCATCAAAACTCCAATTGCATACCTGATTCAGAAAGCTCAGAGCTTTTCACTCCATTTTGCATCAGTGTCTCAAGCTCCTGCACATTCCTCGTCTCCAAAAACAGCATCCACAATCATATCAATCCACGCCTCAATTGCAGTATGATCATCAAATAACAGCCATGTTAGTGATGTTTCACCCATTCAATATGCTTTAGCCTGTAACACTATGAACAAGAAAAGGCTAAAAGAGGGGCAAACCCCATCCAACCATGTTGATTTAGTAACCACAAGGTTACAAGTTCGACTCCAACGGGCAGCTTATTGACATCAGCTCATAAGTTATGACAACCTAGACTGGTTTAACTTCTTTTGGTCATTTACCAGCTAAGGTCACAAGGCGAGATTTATTCGGTGCAAACCTTCATGTAGTGGAGTATGCTTTATAACAACATTGATAGTTCTAATCAACTCTACAATCCTACTTGATACTACTAAAAATTTCTATTCCATCTAAATTTCTTAGACGCAAGATCGAAATTGGATTCAGGAAACAAGAGCCTTTGCCGATTGCTTCACAATTCCCATAATCAACAAAGGCTGCTAATACTATACTATGACTACTAATGGCAATGGGGAATTCATTCACAGGCTGCAAACAGTTCAACTTGCCTGGAAAAGTTGAAAGTTGAAAACTTTAGGGATTATATAACGGATGAGAAGGATAAAGTGCAGGCAATGGACAAAACCAAATTCCGCAAACAAAAAAGTGTTGAAGATGAATCGCAATGGATAGAGAAGGGGCAGTTACCAAAAAGCGTAATCTCGGAATGGATTGAACACATGGTGAACTGACAATTGACAGATGAAATCCCAACTTTTCACTGTCATCTTTCGCCGTCGATCTCCTCCGCCGGAGAGATGGCGTATGGGCTTTCTGGAGGAAATTTGCTCCGGCATGTAACGTCTGGTTTGCCAGCTTCGTTATATAAAGTATATATCTATTATGGATCATGGAAAACCCTATAAAAGGTCTTTATTTCAAATCTTTTCTTTCTTTTAAATGATTTAGTCAATTGTTTTCAAAAAGAAAAAAAATACTCAATTTAGACCTTATAATATCAAAATTATAAATTATGGTGGACATCAAATAAATGTGCCTATAATTCAGCATGTGGGAATTAATCGTTGTGTCTGACGATATAAACTCTGAATACACTTAAAAAATAAATTATTGTGATTGAGTAAGAAAATTATGATATTTATTGATGAAGACTATAAACCAGTCATATATAATTTATTAATTTGTAAAATATTATACCAAATGCGTTTGTCTGTCTTAGTAAATTAAAAAAGTAATTATGAACAGAAACTATATTATAACAGAGTCACTAAAAATTTAAAAAAAAAAAAACACATTAATGTTGTTAAAAGTAAGCGTGCAACAGGCAAAGCCCAAAAGTACAAACAGCAGAAGTAAAACGGAACGGACAAACGGGGGTTTCCTTTTCCGTCGAACGGCGACACAAAAGGCCGCATCGGCATACGGTCCGACAGCAACGCGGACAGGCGATAGGGTAAGTCCCACGTGCATGCTGGGCACGTGAAGGACACGCACGTGCAGGATCACTGGTGGCCCCCACCACGAAGATTGCCGTGGGCCAGGGGACGGGGATTACGAAAAGGAAAAATCATGGGTGTTGTCTGCACACCATGTGGAAAAGCTCTTTAAGTATTTTTATTTTATTTTTTTTAGCCATGATGATGGGCTGGCCGGCCGTCAGGCCCGTCACTTTTTCTGTTAAAGTCCATTTTCATTGTCATCCACTGCTAAAGACCCAATCTTTTTCAACCATTTTTCACTCTTTTTCTTTGTGTTTTTTTTTTTTTATTTTTTATATGCTACAAAGTTTAATAATGGAGTAATTATTAATTTACTACCTATACTTTTTTGAGAGTATATACTCCTAAGTCTCCTACCTATGATACTAATGTGGGGTAATGTTCAAATGAATTCTCATGGTGTAATCTAAAAAACATTAGTATAATTTATATTCAAGCCCTAAACGAAATACTTTCGATTAGTTTTTGGTTATAGTCAATGAAAACCAATCCGAGAAATAGTTTCAGTCCAGTTCTCACAACCTGACTGGACAATGAGAGTACGTGAAAGATATTGTGGGAACACGATGGACGCTTTTATTGATGATCACGTGTAAATAGTGGATGATATACGTCTAAATTGTGAATCGATTTACATATTTATGACAGTCTAACTATTAAAGTGTCGAGGATAGGGTATAAGTAAATGGATAGCATTTGAGGAATGTGATCTTTAAAATCTACTATTGTCACTTTATTGTACCAATTTTTTATTAAGAAGTATTATAATTCTTTCTCGTTATTTTTTATTATTTCGTTTATGAGTTAATTACTTTATCATTGGACATATACCAACCAGCTATAAAAAAGAAAGAAGAAAAATAAAAACAATAATAATAAGACTACCTTCAAAACTATTTAACACGTTACGATTTGTTAGTATAGATCTCAAAAGTTAATATTAATTTTATTTTCTATGCACAATGTCATAATTTAATGGAAATGTAATTATTTATTTTGGAAAATCCAAAATTATTTTTATTTGGAATTTAAAAATTGTAGGTATATAAATTAGCATTTTTAAAAACGAGAATAAAAGAAACACCGAAATCTTTTGAACAAATAATGTCAAAGAAAGACACATTTTTTTTCAAAAAGTGCTTGAGAATTATATAGGTGCTTTTGACGAATTAGCATGCAGCTATCAAAATGTGTATACCTTTGAACCAATTAATGATTGTTTAGCTGGGTGGAAAGTGATAGAAAAAGAAAATAAGCCTATAAGGAAATTATTTAAATATATATATATAATTGTGTTTAGATCATTAGTGTCAATGATCTTGTGGTCAAATGGCTTGAACTGACTCTCCCAAATGAAAGATCATGAATTCAAACAGAGTCAGTAGTACTAAAAAAGAAATTATATTGTAAATAGGCTTTCACTAAATAAGGATCTTAACTCGAACAATCTAAATTATATTACAAGTAATAAGGAGTCGAAGTATTAATTCTGTCGTCATTTCACTTTCAAACCAAATGGAAACATTTAATATATTCTAACTAGGCTTTCACTAAATACGGATCTTAACTCGAACTATGCAGAAGTCTAGAGCCAATTTTGAGTGGAGAGATAATTAAGCATGATCCCAAATTTGAACTAGTTGAATGACTACCTGATATTTTATTTTTATTTTTTACCTGGTCACATGTTTCTTCAATCAGTCAATTAAGATCACACACTTAAACTAATAGTGTTCGCATTCAAAAAAAAAAAAAAAAAAACTAATAGTGTTCCTGTCATGTAGGATTTTGCATTCAAAAAATCGAGACCTCTTATTGCCCTATATTTTGATAATATGAAATTTTATTCATCTCCTTCAATTTCTTCTCCACTATATTTCCTTCAAACTTATATTTGAATATACAAATAGAAATTAAAAGCTTATATGTACATTTCCCCCTTTTTGGAATACAAACTACTCCTTACTTCTTTGCATAAATGCACTATTGTTTGCAATAACTTAAAGAGTGTTGCTTTTATACTTGTACCATTTCAAATTTATTATTGCCCAAGTGTCTATATTGTGTGTGAAGTGTATGTATATCTGGGCCCACATGTATTTTTTAAATAATAATACCGAAAAATATTCTTAAGCTGGCATGTCCCACTATTTGTTGCATTTCAATTGCCTAAAAAGAAACCCTTTTTTTTTTTTCTTTAAAATGGATACCTTTCATTCATTTTCAAGGACAAATGTTTTCAAACTTTCATGGATGCACTAGTGTGCCATTTTACCACTCATATCCGGTGAATGAAATAAATTGCGAGATGTATTTTTACACGTCATAATTGGTAGCAAAATAAAATTTATGAATTTATTTTTTAATTGATAAACTAATTGAGTTGAGTCTCGATAACTTTGTAAACTCTTATAAATTGATATGTTGTAATTACAGTTTAATGATTCTTGAATTCTGAAGTTGACTATACCTTCCCAGCTGATTTGAAAGATAAAAAATAAAGTTATTTTTCATCAATCAAATAATGGTCATGTTTGGTAACATAGTCAGTCAATTTTGGTTTATTTGATCACTATTAGATGTTTGACTTAGTTAAACATTCAATATGAGTGTTTAATTATTTAGCTTTTTGTAACCGTTTATTGCTCCAAAATGTTAAAATTCAAAAATCAATTTTTTTCGACCAGCTTTTTGAGAAATATATCTTTATACAATCAGCTAATGATATCAACTACTCAAACGCACTAACCCAATCAACTAACAGTCTAACAATTATTTAACAAACACCCCAATATCAAAATAACATTGATGATTGTTTGTTTGACTTGAATTAATAACCTAAACACCTTTATATTTTGTTTGATACACAACATCATATTGTACTATAAGATTTTGAGATTTTTTTTCCTGTATATACACATGAAATTGAAAACTTATGGCCCTAGTACAGTAGTACCATTAATATACATGTATGAGTTGGATGGTCTTTTTAACACATGTAGACTTGAATAGATGATTTTTTAAAAAAATTGTTGTTCCAACTACATATCATTTAATTTGAAGGTGGGACAGTGCCTATACAAATATTAATAAAAAGGACAAATTAAATGACAAAGTAGGAACAGGAGAGCCATGCCCCTCCCTCCATACCCTTCATTTTGTTTATTTGTTTTTCTTTACTTAAATCGTTGAAATGGCCCCACAACTATACTAATTTCATTGTTTTAGTTATCATCATTTATGCCAATGACATTGTGATCTCGCATAAATTTTTTTTTTCAAATAGGAGATTATGGGTTCAAACTCAAAAATAAATATGTATTATATTATAACATAATGAGTTATATTCAAAAAGAAGTTATCGCAACATTTATTTTCATTTAAAAGTGTTATTAATTATTAAATTTGCAAATATTTTAGACAATATTTTAAGAAACAATACCTATGAATCACTAAAATATGTAAAAATCTGATAGTAACGAATGATATTCGATAGAATTTGATAGTGGCCGGTTTAATTATTTTAATTCTCGATCTTTAATTTTGTCCAATAATATTGTTGATTATCAAATTTGTAGATATTTTAGTCGTTTGAATGACTAAAACATGTAAAATTTTGAACAGACTAATGCCTATGAATCACAAAAATATGGACAAAATCAAATAGTAAAAATATACGCTATTAGATGAAATATGATATCAATTTCATTATCTCAATCCTCGATATTTAATTTCGTTCAATAATATATGTTCTTGGTTATCAAATTTGTGCGTATTTTACTCATCTGAGTAAATAAAATATGTATATATTTGAACGAGAGTCACGAGACAATACTTTCAAATGACTACAATATGTACAAATATAGTAATCGGTAATATTATTGGATAAAATTAAAAGTCGATAACTAAAATAGTGAATCAGTATAGTCGTAGACCATTTTGATAATTTAATAATTTTTTGAATATAATGAATTCTAATTACTAGTACAGTACATTATCTATGCTATGCTACCTTATCATGGAAGCCCTTTCATTTTCTCTCTCTCTTGTGCATAATAGATACATAATGTGTATGTATATGTTTTAGACCTTATATTATACTAATCATAATCATCATCATCATCATCAAAGTAGTATCAATAATTCAGCCAGATTGAGTAAGTGACTACTCCCCCCTTCCCCACTTTTTCTTCCATGTATTTATATACACACACATCTGAAGTGAGTGAAAGTGAAAGGAGTGGGGCCCATGTCACATTGGAACATGACCCCCTAGTGATACCAAATAATCATGCTTCTATAGGACATTAGTTTTTGTTGCTTAATTAAAATATTGCAAAGAGAATTAATTAGCTTGAAGATGCTTTCTTATTGCCCTTTTGCCCCTTAGACATGAATATAATTTGACATTTTGTGTGTGTGGAGTGTTTTGGGCTCCACATGTATAGTAATTATTATGCCAAATTTTAACTAATTTATAATCAAACTATATATGTCAAAGACTTTGTGATTGAGCGATATGACTGTGGTTCTCTTAAATGAGACAATACTACATTATAACAGAGTAATTAGTACTTAAAAATAATAATACTTGTTCAGATGTATTAATATTGATGCGTAAGTATTCCAGTTTTGTCGGACTAAATTATTGAATTCCATGATCATACCCCTAGACCCATGAGAATATAACTAATGTAAACCGAATTTCTTCAGTGTTGAGATTTACCCAAACTATACACTCAAATGTGTCAATATTTGTTTGCCTCATTCTTAAATTGGCACCCCATAAGGTTCTTCACAAGGTTTAATAATTATCATTTTTAACTTGTTTATTCTCTTAAGCTAAATTAATGGGAAAAGTTATTGTGCGAGTGCATATTGCACCGAGTATAATTAAAAAAAAAAAAAAAAAACTTGGATTGTATCTGATGCAATGAAGATAATGTTCATTTTACTCTAGATACAAACATCAAAAAATTTTACATTTATTCTTTGTTATACCTACCGCAATTGATATTGGTGGGTACTGATCGACAAATTAAAATTTTATTAAATTAAAACTCATGAGGGAATATTTCTTCATAATTTGAAGTCCTTGATACAAACCTAAGTTTGACCATTAAATTTTTTTAAATATCATTTGCATTAATATAAAATGCATTGACATAAAAAGTAAATTTATATATAACGTAATTATTGTTAATCAAATTGAATATTTTAATGAAATTAATGGATTAGTCACATGTTTGGATTAATGATTTGATTTTATTATATGGATATATGGACAACCCCAGCTCATTAGCTTATCCATCTATCTTCAAAATTCTTACAAGATATATGCTTTGCATGGTTATATATAATTAAGTTTTTAGTTGTGTTTGATAAATATATAAATACTAATAATTTGATTTAAAAATTTTATAATGCTTAAGTTTGTAATCGTGGGTGATAAATTAGTTTAGATTGCTTTGAACCTCGTAGTTACTAAATTAACAATACAGTCAATTCGACTAAAGTTGACCTGCAATATTATTGTATGGTTATTTTTTTAACAATAAAGCAGTAATATTTACACTTCACTAATTAATTGGGTGTGATATATCTAATTAATTTGTAATTACTCAACTAGATAAAACTAACTAATTGAATTACATTAGTTGTAATTCATCTAATTAAGTTTTAATTATCCAACTAGTTAAGACTAACTAATTGAATCATTAGTTGTAATTTATCTAATTAGTTTGTAATTACTCAACTCATTAGATTTAGGTTAGATAGCATTTTTTGGCCTATTTAATTAATAAATTTTTGTTAATGATCGTTTGACTTAAAAGGGTCGGGGACAAGACATCTTTAAAACATTTTAATCAAACTTTAAAGTTATTAATCAAACATTTTAATATGAACATATATCAAAATATAACGAATCAAAAAAAAAAAAAAAACATGTAATGTATTATATGTTCATTTTTATTGTATTATATGCCTACTTTTAAATTTTAGTCCCTCATTAAGTAAATAATGATATGCTATTTTCATCACGTGGGTCTAAGAAAAGTGTCTACGTTAATAACTTGTGAGAGGAAATAAAAATTGAGAATATAAAAGGGAAGTACACCAAGTGACCAAGTGTTCAAGTATTTTCATATTTCTTTCAGGTGTTGCTATTTGTACACCCCCTAGTAAAAGTGGGTGTAAATACCCTTTGAATTGTAAAAAGGTGAAAAATTTCAACAAGTACATATAGGTGGTGTAAATAGCAATAAGGGTGTAAATATGACTATTTACATATGGTCAAATGTAATTTACGAGATTCCATTAGAGCAACATTATCAATCGGGGATATTATGGGGTTATTGTAAGAGTGATTAAGAAAAGATAATGTGGAAGGGGAGAGAAAAAAAAAGAAGAAGAGAAAACTGAATTTTAAAAACAAAAACAATAAAAAAAATTAGTGCGTCAGGGGCACTGACGCGTTTGCACGCACCCGTATGGTTCGCGCACAGCCTGTGTCCCCTTTTTTTTTTTTTTTTTTTTAAATTTTTGTCCTGACATTCTCCCAACCCTTTGCAGGTCAAATAATTTGTCAATAACAAGTGTGGGGAAGAATTAATTGACAAATTATTTGGATGACCTACATTATCCCTCATTTCTTCCCTGATGTGGATGCTGTTAGTCAGTTTTTTAATTAAAAATTAAAACATTAGAAAAAAAATTCACTCGCCTTATCCGGTGAGAAGGCGAGGAGCTGCCTTCCCATCGGAGAAGGCAATAAAAGTAGTGCAAATAGTAAACTGGTCTATTTATACCACCTATAAAACTATCACACTTATTAAAAGGGGTGTAAATATCAATAAGTATGGTGCAAATAAAATTCTTCATTTCTAAACATTCAGAATTCATATCTAAAGATGTAAGAGGAAGTAAATTGGGAGTCGCACAATTATTCTTGAATTTTGGTGTTACATAAACAATTACATACTCCGTATTCATTACAGTACTATACATTCAAACCAATCTAGCGCTTAAACTTTCTCAAAAAATAAGAAAGAAAAAAAAAAACAAAAAACAATGTCTGTCAGACGCTTGAGCCACCAAGAGAGAACGTGCACTATTCCAAGCAGATCTGGATCCACTAAATAAATCTCTTTCACTCTCCTACGCACTCGCCTCCCACCCACTCTCTGATCATTTTCTATATGTATAGCCCGGGGTAGATAGAGAGAGAGAGAGAGAGAGAGTGATATAGTGAGAGAAGCTTAAAGTTGGTGTCTTTGTGACTCAAAAAACAAAGGGTATTCAAAATTTTCAAGTTCAGGGTGGGTGGTGGGGGTGGGGTGGGGTGGGGAGGTATGTGGGGTGTGGGGTGGGGGTATAGTAAATAAGCAATTGATGGGGGTTGTGCTGCTGCTGTTGCTGTCAAACTGCTACTTGTGCAGGCTGCTGCTTCTGCTACCACCACTGCATACAAAGGAGGAGGCGGTGGTTTGGCTTTTGTAGTAAGTTCCATAGCCTCCCTCTCTCTCTCTCTCTCGTTGGGAATTGAAAGAAACCTGCAAATTATAGGGGTGTTTGGGAAAGAAAAAGAAGGGGTTATGGTCTGCAGCTTCTTCTGTTTATCTTGAGAGAAAAAAAAAATTGTTTCTTTTCTGGTCAAAGGTGTAAGATTTTGTGTGCAGATCTTCAATGGGTAATCTGTACTTGTTTTGATTGTTAACTTTTTGTTTATGGGTATTTCAATTTGGAAAAACATGGTAATAAGAGAGTAGGGAGGAGTGAGAGATTCCAGTGTGGTGTGCTTCCAGTTTTAGCTTTTCTTGTTGGCTTTATTTCTTCATCAGCTTCTTGCTTTCAGCTTTGTGTAAAGACTAGAGAAGTACACCCACCTCCATATTTAGCTTCCTTTCTGCAGAGGGAACCTTCAAAATCAAATCTTTTTTTTTTTTTCTTTTTCCTTCTAGTTTTTGCTTACTGCTACTTTTAAGTTTTACCTACTTTTATATTTTTAGTTTTCTGGGCTGTTTTTTGCAGGGAGAGGTTAAAGGGTAACTTAGCTTTGCTTAGTTCTTGCGAGGAAGAAAGAGAGAGAGAGAGAAGGGTTTGGAGGGTTGGAGTGGAATATTGCTACCAACCCAGAAAGAAAATGGATGCATATGAAGCAACAAAGGTGGTTTTTCAGAGGATCCAAAGTCTTGACCCAGAAAATGCGTCTAAAATCATGGGGCTTTTGCTGATACAGGATCATGGGGAGAAGGAGATGATCCGGCTGGCTTTTGGGCCGGAGTCATTGCTTCAATCTGTGATTGTGAAGACGAAGATAGAGCTTGGGTTGTCTCCCAACTCTCCGTCCACTCCTTCGTCGCCTTCTCCGTTTGGGAATTCGATTTCTGTTCCTTTTTCCCGGCAGAACTCTGCTTCTTCCGGCGGCTCTGGGAGGATTCATGGCGGCGTTAATCTTCCTTCTCCGCTCAGCATAAATACCCAGTCGAATGCTTCTTCTTCTTGGGCTAATTCCAGCTTCTCGGAGTTTCAGAGCCCGGAGGGGATGGTTAGTCCCAGTCCTACTGCTAATGGAGTTAGTTCTCTGTCGTCTTCCATGAACTCCGCCGCGCCGCCGTTTTACGGCGGCGGGGAGGTGGATTTGATCGACGAGTTTCAGCTGCAGGACCAGCTCTCGTTTCTCAACGATGGGTCGCCGACTTTGGGGGCCAAAAACCCCGACATTTTCTACCCAAACCACCAAGATTTGGCGTCCAGTCCCACCGGAGACTCCGCGCTTTTCTCCTCTTACTCCGCCGGATGGGGCGGCGGCGGGTTCCCTCACCGGAGGAGCTGCTCCGTCAGTGACATCTGCTTGGGCGGGAATGACGACCCGAACGGTGGATTCGGGTGGAAGCCGTGTCTGTACTACGCTAGAGGCTACTGTAAAAACGGCAACAGCTGCCGGTTTCTCCACGGCGGCGGCTCCGGCGACGGCGAAATGGTGGGCTCTCCGAGCAAATTTGAGATGATGGAACAGTGCCAGGAGATTCTCAGATCCAAATCCTCTCAGCAGCAAAGATTGGCCGCCGCTTCTCAGCTCATGGCGGCTTCTTCCACCTTCCCTTACTCCCCAGTTTCTGCCAATAAATGCATGAACTTTCTTCTCCAGCAACAACACTTACAGGCTGAGAGCCCAAGGCATAAACCATTTTCTCAGTCTTATCAAAATCTCAATCTTTCTGTTCTTAATTATGTAAGTATTATGTAAGTATTATCCATCATTTCATGTTTTTCATGGTTGCAGAGCTGCGGCGGCATTGATGCTGGGAGACGAGGTTCATAAGTTTAGTCGAACCCGGTTCGAGAGGGGAGATTTCGGGATGAATCTTGGAGCTAACAATTCGAGTTCGAGACAGATTTACTTGACATTCCCAGCTGACAGTACTTTTAAGGAAGAAGATGTTTCCAACTATTTTAGGTACTTATTGCTTTTAACCATGTTTAATCTTCTGTTTTTGTTTCTGCTATTGTTAATTAATGTGTTTCTTTATTCCCCGGAGTAGCAATTATGGACCGGTGCAGGATGTGAGGATTCCGTATCAGCAGAAGAGGATGTTTGGATTCGTGACATTCGTTTATCCCGAGACTGTGAAAATAATTCTTGCCAAAGGGAATCCTCATTTCGTTTGTGATGCTCGGGTTCTCGTGAAGCCGTATAAGGAAAAAGGCAAAGTCCCGGAGAAATTCAGGTCGGTTTAGTTAACAATGTCGGTGTAATTTGTGCATTTTATACTCTATAGTGCTAATTTGTGAGACTATAGGAAGCAACATCAACAGCAGGAGATGGAGAGGGGCGAGTTTCCGGGGTGCGTTAGCCCTTCCGGTTTAGAGTCTCGAGATCCTTATGATATCCAGCTCGGTAAGTAGTTAAGGTTAAAACCTTAAAACCCGATGTTGGCATTCGATGTTTTTCCATGAATCCATGAATTGTATGTATCTATTTGTCTTGATTATAGGTGCGAGGATGCTCTACAACTCTCAGGACATGTTATGGAGGAGAAAACTCGAGGAGCAGGCGGATTTGCAGCAAGCCATCGAGCTTCAGAGCCGGAGGCTGATGAATCTACAGCTTCTCGATGTGAAGAGGAGCAATCATCATCGTGCCTTTTCCACGGGAGCCGTTATCTCGTCCCCGGTTCACTCCCCGGGATTCATTGGCCACAACAATGTTGTTTTCCCGACTAGTCAAGATTGCAGCAAAGGTCTTAACTTTCACTATTAATAATTCAATCATGTTTGCTTCCTTTAGGTAATCTTAAATAAAACATTGAAATCTTTCTTTTTATAGTTCCCGAGAACGGTTTTGCGCCTAAAATGGTAAACCAAGCAAGTATTGGGACCGAAAAGGAGGTGCAAGAAAGGGAGAAAGAACCATCCAAAGGGAAGGATGAGAATGGTAATGGCAAAGAAAACAAGGGAGAAAACGAGTTACCCGAAAGGTAAATAGTAGTACTTAAAAGGCTAAATTATTAAGAAACCAAAACCCGATATCTGTAATGACAAATGTGTTATAAGTGCAGTGTGGAACACAATCTCCCCGATAGCCCGTTTGCATCGCCTAAAGCCGCTGGAGACTCGATGTCGTCTGCTTTCTTGAACGACGTTGGAGAAGGCGAGAAACCATCTTCGGGCACCAACAACCTCATCGCCGCCTCGCCCTTGTTCCCCGCCAATGCTTCACTCGATATGACCCCATTGAAATCATGTTACCTTGAAGTTGCTAGGTACATTACATATATATATACATACATTAAACTATCAATCCCGCAATTTCCATTTCTTGATGACAACGAATAAACGCTTCATGACAGGTTCCCTTCGGGATCCGGTGCAATTGGAATGTAAGCCTAAACCAGCCCGTGACACAATTAGGCTTCCTTAGTTTAGGTAAGCATTCACAACTCGCGAGTCCCGCCTTAACATAACCGAACCAAACCAACCAACAAACATCCTAACCTCGGTTTTCGGTTTGTGTGTTATGTTCTTTGTTCAGGAAGTAAGAAGAGTATGTACAAGTATAACCACCACCACCACCACAACCACTGCCACCGCCTTCGCCTTGTGACTAAGTAACATCATCAGACAACACATATATTACTATTTACTACCAATACAAATATGCATACATAGTAAAAAAAGAAGTGGGACAGCCATTTTCCATTTTCCCTTGTTTTCTTGTGTTGTATTCTCCAGTCTCTCTCACATCTCTCTGTAGTTGAGGTTCTTGGTTGGACCACAGGTAGAGAAAGGAAAAAAGAATATTAGCCATAGGTGAAAAACCATGAGGTTAAAAAAAAAAAAAAAAATTACAAGAGGCAAGGGGTACCAAGAAAAGTAAAAAAACTGAGTCTTTGTTCATTGTATTTGGACTGTAATTTTTCTCCCCCCCTTGCCCCCCACCAATGTATAATCAAGAAGATTCAAATGTAGCCAAAAGTGTTAGTTTATGTTCTTGTTAGGAAAATTACCTGTGCAGAAGAAGATGCAGTGAAGAAGAAGAAGAAGATTTGATGAAGATGAAAGGCAGATTTTGTATGCCAAGAAGGGGTTTGATGTAATTTTATGTGCCTGTGGGTAAAAAGGAGGAAAAAAAAGAAGAAAGGTAATTAGTATGTTATTAAAAATTTAATCTTTTTTACTTAGTAGCCTAAAGGGAAGAAGAAAGAAAAGAAAATGGTAGTTTTTTCTGCCATCTTTTGTTGTAAATTTTTTTTTTTTTTAATGTATTATGGTAAATGGATGATGTCAAAACAAGAAAAAGGACTGTAATAGGGAGAGGCAAAAAGGTAAATTTCACCAAAAGTTGAAAGCTTTATATATAATAATATATACATACATATATGTTTGATTAGGGGTGTATTATATATATATAATTTATAAGAGTGGGGGTGGGGGGTGGTTTTTATAATTGTCTTTTAGGAATTTGTCAGTGTGTCCCAGTTTTTGTCTGCTTTTATGATTGTGGGGTGGGGGTGTGGGGCCCTGTCCTTTTCTGCCTTTCACGGGCATACAATCACATGGGTGGCTGACACCATGGGGCCCACAACTTATTTATGCAGTGTTATGGTTTCTGGGCCCTACCCACCAAACACCCCAAGTGATTATCCACTTGCCTGACTCACTCTCTCTCTCTGGGTTGTACACTGTACTCATCTCATTGTACCTTCCTTTCCTCTCCCACATGAAATCTCCTTTTTGCCCCTTTCCTCCCCAACAGTCTTTTCAAACTTCATTTCTATGACCAGTTGAGCTGTCCATATGGACATTTTCCCGCAACGTTGATCTTAAGAATGAGTAAAAGTTATGAGTTTAATTTTTGTTAATATTTTATTTAAATTCAAAGAATAGGTGAATTTAGTGTACACTTTCAGATAATGGTTAAGAGTTATTTTGTTATTCGAAATTACCCTTGAGAGGTGAATCGTCTTAAAACATTTTGATTCGATTCAGTAGGTTTGACTAATAAAGAATATTAGTAAAAATTAAAAATGTGATTTTTAATACATTTTCTCGTCGGATCAAATATATCGGGATCATTTCTTACACGCTTAACTCAGTAGTTCAGTAGGTAGGTAGTATTTAGAGAAAGAGATTAATGTTTATAATGACAATATGAAATTAAAGTGGGATAGATCTCTTGTGTGTACAGATATTTAGTCTTGTCTGTTGAGTCATTTAGTCATCATAGTTTATACCTTCTCAAATATTCTGTCGGACTGAAACGTAGACCTTTCAGATTATATTTAATTTAATATTTTTGAGAGAAGAAATATGTTGAAAATTGTTTGTGAGATGGGGAAGAGACAAGAAAGTAGGGAGAGTGAGAATCTTTGGGGAGTTGAGCCAATGGGGTTTTGAGTCTTTTGACTGTGGATTCTTGGTAGTTCTGAGGCTCACCTAACAACGCAGAGTTCTCGCATGGGAGTTTGTAAACTAACCACCCCTTTGCCGTAAGAATGCCGGTTAAGGAATATTGTCATAAAAAGGTTTTTTATAATGTATGATTTATATATTGTTTGGTGTCACGTTTCATTAAAAAACAAATCGTAAAATTTAAACTAACTCAAAAGTATGAGATAATTGATAATTTAATTGTAAAGTCGGAGGATCGATTTGTATAGTTGTATTGGATAGTGCTAATATCATGTCGATAATACTTTGTACAAGTAAGTGTAGTACATTTAAATGCATGTGATATTATTGGCACTATATTAATTGGCATAGCAGAAAATCTTTATAAAAATTAGAAAAGATTTAATATAGGGTTGGTTGGTGAATGAAATGAGAGATTGAGAGTACCGAACAGCTAGATTTTAGAAAGGTTGACTAAAGTTGAAATTTTGTTCTGACCGTAATTTTTTTTTTTTTTTTTTTTTAAATTTTGGTCTGAAAAGTGAAACTTGAAAGTTGATATGCACGAGGCAATGAGTAAAGCAGGATGTGTACACGTGTAGGGCTTGATGGCAGTAATGCTTTTATTACTGTACTTGCAGCTTTGGATTCTCTCACGGTCTCACTCGCCCTCCCATATTTTATATTTTATTTTGATTTACATATTATTCGAAATTGTAATCTAGATTAAGATTACTACAAAGAGGTAAACCTATTTAGAAGGCCAATATCAGCCTCAACTGATAAGTGACTTTTTAATTTATGAGTTCTATTGGTGTTGAGTTAAAAATTTACATCATAAATAATTGATAAACGAAAAAGTCACTTCACAATAGTTGAGGTGCAAAAAGTAACGATAATATAATTGAGAGATAAAAAGTGTTATGAATTATTTTTCTACAATTCAAGGATGAAAAGTGTTTGATAGGACTTATATGTGCATGACCGGATATATGTGAGATGAACTGACCTGAACCACATGGAGCTGAAGAAAGCAAGGACTCTCCAGAGCATTTCATGTCGGTTATCTAGGGTCGAAAATCCAGTTTTCGAGATCGGGATAGTAAATATTCCGCCCCGCCAATATGTTATACACACAAGGAATAGTCAAATAACTTCGCATCACCATTTTCCTTTATATTAGAGCATTGACATGACCTCTATGACCGTCGAACCCTGACATGTGTCCCGATGCTCACCTGTATAAGGCACATTTATTGCCTTAGAGGGGACATTTGCTTTCTCAACTACCTAAGACCTATTCGATTGAACTAATTCAGTTCCTAGTCCAGATATACCTCATCCATAAACCCGAGTGCAATGTAGTTGACCCGAAAGGGTCCAACCCTAGTCCTATCTCCGGGAATTAATCGTATCAATGTTATTTTCATGTTTGTTTTTAATAAAATTATTATTATTTTATTTTACTAACATAGTATAATTTTATCAAATATATGACATTGTATACATTTATTGTGTATCGATTTTCGAACGAAATATAAAACAATTTTTAGAGTATAAGTTGAAATTTGTTAAAACAGAAAGTTAATAATTAGAGATGAAATTTTAATTTTTTGAATAACTTCAAATACATTGAATTTTTCAAAAAAAAAAAAAAAAAAAAAAAAACTCTGCAGCACGATTTCAGATTAGTTTGATAGCAGTGAAAATATCGAATCTTGCAAGGGAAAAAAAGAAGAAAGAATTGAATAATATATGAAGTCTAGATTGGAGAAATTGAAGCCCATAGGATTTGAATTGGTTTCAAAGCTGGCCCGTAATCATAGCCCAATATCATATTTAGAAATGAGCAGCCCAATTTCAACTCCAAGTACATTATTCTAACTCAGGAAATATATTATTTAAACATATAAATAAATTATTTTAACTTATAAAATAATTATCTTACCTCAAAAATTTTATTATTTAAGACATAAAGTTCATTATATATTATTTTAACTCATAAAAAATATTATTCTAACATATAAAGTACATTATTTTAATTCACAAAATATATTATTCTAACTTATAAAATACATTAGTTTACCTTAAAAATTCAATTATTCTAACACATATAAAGTATATTATTTTGACTCATAAAATACATTATCTTATCCAGAGCGTTTATTATTCTAACATACAAGTTTTTTAAATACCAAAATGACATAGTTTTGAACCGTAGTCCACACAATAATTTGTCAATCGACTAAGATGTGAGGGTCCTCGGAGGTGGTGATTCAATTTTTTTGGAGAAGAAAAGAATATGCCAAATAAAAAGTTAAATTACAGGTATTATTATTTCTTGATTTTTCCTGGCTTCTAAACAAAACCCATGCCTTTCAGGCTTTTAAGCAACTCCCAAAATCTCTCCCCCCCTTTGGATTGTAGTGGAGTGTCTATACAAAGACTGCTGCTTTTGCAATTTCTTGCCTGTTTTTCAGAAGGGAATATCTAAAAAGCCTCTGTCTTCCTCTCCCAGAATCTCAGATGCGCTGCTAATGAAATCTTGCTCAGTTGTTTAAAGGTGATATCCATTTTCCCTCCCTCCTTCTTGCTAACACTCACTATCCACTCTCTTCTCTCAGTTTTGTAATTTTAACAGTTTTCTTTTGTGTTCTGGTGTCAATTTTAGCTTCAAAGAACTAATTTTTAGTGATCTTTAGTCTCTGGGTGTTCAAGAATTCTGATAGAATAACCTCAATAACCTTCTTTCATTCAGAGATAATGCAAAATTTCATGAAATTTTGCAGTTGAATTAGGATATGGTAGTGGGTGAATGCCTCAGGTTGAGATTCTAAGCACACAGCTAAGGTTTAGCATTATGATGATTGATTAATCAAATAATCAGACACCCTTATGAAGTAGTTTATTGGTTCTTCTTGTTTGCTTATGTTCAGTTTTAGGGATGATGCTTAACTTTGAGTATTGCATACTTCCTATCGTGGTTTACTTTTCCTGTGTGGTTTATGGGACGTGATTTGTGGGTTAGTGCGGTTTATCCTTCCTGTGTGATTTTACCGATTTATCTCCCAGTAGTTTGCGGGCTATTATACATGAGCGAGGGGTTTACCAATACACACTCTCGGGTAGTGACAAGATTTGTGACAATCCTTAATGAGCTTAAGTTATGAGCATATAATATATATAAACATAAATGTGCAATTCAACTATAACTTTTAGTTGAGATGGAGCATATGCTTCAATTTGGTATCAGAGCCATGTCAAAAGTCATGAGTTCAAAGTTTGTTGAACTGTTGAATCTAATTTCAGGGAGCGTATTCGTGGGATGGAAATTCTTTCGTGCCATTCTGGACTGTGTAGGCATTCCATTTTACAACAGAGAAGTTTGTGTTGCATTGTTTTCAAACCTAGCCATATGAGATCGTCCCCCTTGGATCATTTTAGATCGAACAAATTTTGCAGGAGTCAACATTGTCTGACTATCGGTGGTTTTAAGGGATTACAACAAAATTCTGGTTCCAGTCTCGTCGGGGGAACCTATAACTCTTATATACTCGATCGGGAAGAGGGTGCCCGTAGCATAACTGATACTGGGAAAGTACGAGAAATTTTGATACCGGGTTTGCCAGATGAATCCAAGGGTGAATACGTAGCTCCAATTAGCAGTTGCTTCTGGGAATGGAAGCCTAAACTGAACGTTCATTACGAAAAATCAGGGTCTGAAAATGTGAATTCCCCGCCAATACTTTTTCTCCCGGGCTTTGGCGTTGGGTCCTTCCACTATGAAAAACAGCTGAAGGATCTTGGCCGTGATTTCAGAGCTTGGGCGTTAGACTTTCTAGGGCAGGGTTTGTCAATGCCGAGCGACGATCCAACTTTGCAGTCCGGAGAAGAGGATCTCGTTTGGGGTTTTGGAGATGAAGCTCAACCTTGGGCAAAAGAACTCGTTTATTCTATGGACTTGTGGAGAGACCAAGTTCGCTCTTTTATCGAAGAGGTACTTTATGACTGATTTTTTTACTATTTAAGAACTACCTTAAAAGAACAGTTGAGAGCGTTTATCCTAGGATCATTTTTACGGGGTAGAGAAATGAATAAAGTTGGTATTTTGATAACTGCAGGTAATAAAAGAACCGGTTTACATTGTGGGAAATTCACTTGGAGGCTACGTTGCACTCTACTTTGCAGCACGCAATCCTCATTTGGTGAAAGGCGTAACTTTGCTAAACGCAACGCCTTTTTGGGGTTTTCTTCCTAATCCTATCAAGTCTCCAAGATTATCCCGAATATTCCCAATGCCGGGAACATTTCCTATTCCAGCACCCGTTAGAAAGATGACAGAACTTGTGTACGCACTAAACTTCATCCGTTCTCTTCTTTTATGTGCTTTATCACGATCTTAATTTGTTTACTATTTATATCAGATGGCAGAAAATTAGCGATCCTGATAGTATCACGGAGGTTCTTAAACAGGTTTATGCGGATCACTCTACGAACGTTGATGGAGTCTTTTCCCGTATACTTGAGACGACGAAGCATCCGGCTGCAGCAGCAGTGTTTACTTCAATAATGTTTGCTCCTCAGAGCCAATTATCATTCGACGAGGCTCTTTCTGGGTGGGTATAGAACACGGTTAAGCTGCTATGCGCTTGATTCTTTTTAAATTTTTACATTACTAGCTCGAAGTAATGAAAATTCTACTTGACAAAATGTAGGTGTCGAGCGAACAACATACCGATCTGTCTCGTATATGGGAAGGATGATCCGTGGGTGAAGCCTATCTGGGGCGCACAGGTGAAGAGGCGAGTGCCTGAAGCTCCATATTACGAGATTAGCCCTGCTGGTCACTGCCCCCACGACGAAGTCCCAGAGGTATACTGCTTAATACCGAGAAGCAATGTTGAAAAAATCGCTAGGCCTGGGGACCGCCTAGCGCCTAGGCGCGATTTTTGCAACACTGCCGAGAAGTCTAAAGAAATATTAGGAGATAGAATTAGGAAGAAAAGGCTCTGATACCACGTGCTGGACTTGGCCCTAAGCCCTGTCCTGGCCTCCGCCCTTTATTAGGTGTAAAACATGCGTTTTGATCCTCATCTCTCTGTGTGGACACTTCGATGTATAAATACAGATGCAATAGACAGATAACCGAGCTTTCCTGGTGTGCAGGTTGTGAATTTTCTACTACGCGGGTGGATCACAAGCTTGGAGTCGAAGGGCTCGGTTGCATTGCCGCTTGTTGATAGCCCGGAAAGCGCTGCATTGGACGTTTTTAAAGAGCTGGAATTCGTTCGAGAGGGATTGAGAAAACCAGTAAATGTACAGTTCTATGGATCCAACTTCTCTTTCTGGAAAAGGTTTGGCTCATACCTTAACCTTCCATTCCAAGGCAATGGTCTTCCAAGTAAATAATTTGCTTGTGATGTAGATGGTGATTGTTTTGCATTTAGGATTGGTATTCAATCTCCCAGAACCACATAGTTGTAAAGATGTGAAATTCATAATACATAGAATCATAGATTTTTTATTATTTTTTTTTTTTGGGTTCTTGCTGAATTGTAAACACCTTTTTCTGGAGATTTAAGGCTGCTTCATACCCATAGTCAATGATCGAACCCTTGACCTTTGGTTAAGGATGAATGAGTCCTTTTCACTCAACCACACTCCCTAGGTTTACAAAATCATAGATTTTTAACAACTTCAATCCCTAATCCCTACTATTTTAGAGCATGCACTAATAAATTCCGCTCTTGTAAAATAATCTGCAAATCACATAGGAGGAATAAACCAGGTTGTCCATAGATGATCGTCTCAAATTAAGAAGGTCAATAGATAGCTCTGTTCGACCAATTTGGTTATTGATGGCCAAAATTGAACATAACCAAGTTAAGAATTCTTTAAGTGAAGCTTTGCTTGTGAAATGGAGTTCTAAAAGAATTACAGCTAAAAAGTGTTATATCTATTTGAAACAAAAATGTCTATATTTCAACATTACAAAGTTTAAAGGAAAGACCAATCTGTCTTGCATAGTCTATGAGAACTATATTCTCTTTTGCCTCTATGGGAATTAGGGGAGATGGTTTGACAGAAAAAGAAACCTGAATTCCATATAATTCTCAACTGTTTGGATGATCCTCGTGTATGCCGGAGGCCATTGAACCCACGATTGGAAAACACTCAAGTAAGAGAATCTAAATTTTGTCTGGGGAAGTTTACCGTGTTTATCTAAAGTTCTGCCTCGTCTTGATCATTCGCTTCAGCGTCGCTAGCCAAAAGTTGCACTCGTCCCAATCACTTGTCGTCAAGAGCACCTACGTGAATGAGAAATCGACAAAGGTTAGTTTCATGTCCAACCTGTGTAACTTTAAAGGAGAGGACCCTCCAGAAGGATACCTGGATCTGAAGGGCAGTACTGAAGTCACCGTTGTCCAAAGCCCGACAAAGCTGGACGAGCTTTTCTGAAGCGTTCTTAGATATATCTCCACCATTGAGTTTAGCAAACAACGCACCTAGCTTCTTTGAATTATCATCAATCTCACGTTTCTTAGCTGGATTTGCCCGTGGCCCTCCTAATGCTTCTGATGTCTCGTTGAAGAGCCTAGTCAATGTTGCTATGACAGGTTTTTGTTCAGCTGTAGCATGGAATCCACAACCAAGTTAAACGAGATGGCGAAAGACAATTAAAACGCAGACAACTTCATTAATTCTCAGATAGGTTTTTTGTTCGTAGGAAGGATCAAGGTTGAAAAAATCGCTAGGCGCCTGGGGACCGCCTAGGGCGCCTAGAGCGCCTAGGCAGGCAGGCATCTAGGGCGCCTAGGTGGCCGACCACCTAGCGCCTAGGCGCCGAAAATCGGCGCCTAGACCCGATTTTTGCAACACTGGGAAGGATTCAAGAGTAGTTGCTGACTGAAACGAGCATATGGAAAGAAGTGAAAGTGGAAAATACCAGGCACATTAGAGGTATCGACTGTCTGCACTGTCGGTGGGGGAACAGCAGGAGTTACAGGTGGTTGGACAGGTGCTGCTTGAGTGGGGCTGGGAGGTTGCATGGCACTCACATTAGGTCTTTGAACTCCCGGATTTGTAACCGGGGCGAATCCCCTAACATTTGGAGAAGGTGAAACCACTTGAGGCATCCTTTGTCCGAGAGGCGGATTGACTTGTGACACGTTAGGGTCATATGCACCACCAGGCACATGAGGACCGGTTGGAAAACTAGGGTTAGCCTGCCCCTGAAAACATGCTTGAGAAAATTAGTTATGTTTAAAGGCTTCAAATTAGTTATGTTTTATTCATCCTAATAACAAAACGGCATAACGTACAGGATACAACTGGGAACCCAAAGTGGGCTGTTGATATTGCTCCACATTTCTCAGAGCCGGGGGGTTAGTTGGAACAAAAGGTTTTATAGTAGACTGACCGGCAGCAGGTGGTGCAGCAATATTTCCCTGCAAAGGTGGCTAAAACAGAAATACAAGTTTAATTTGAGAAGTTGAATAAAAAAAGGCAAAACAAGTCAAGAAACTTGCATTAAAATATTGTCCTACTAATTAAACTTTGCATTTATACTAATTGATTAGATTATAGCTGCCAAGGACGGAGCACGATGATTTCAGACGTCTAATTCAGTGCAAATCATATTGAACAATCTAAAATAATTATGCTGCAAGCAACACCTTTTTCACTAACAGTCTATGCAAGCACAAATTCAGCATTGTAGCGTTACTTTTCAGAGAATGTGAACCAAATGATGTGAATACCTGGGGAACATGATGAACTGGTGTGGGAAGAAACATGTTAGGTTGTTGGACATTCTGCTGTGGAGCAGGCTGAAAGGAAGGGGGAGTGGGCTGATAGGAAGGAGGAGTGGGCTGATAGGAAGGAGGAGAAGGCATATAGGGGGAAGGAGGAGCAGGCTGATAAGAGGAAGGAGGAGTATATCCCTTGAACGAAGGACCATGAGTAGACTGATAATTTTCAGCATATGGACCATTAAGAGTGCCTGGTGTGTTTTGCATGGGTGATTCCTGAGCAGGGAAAAGAAAAAGAAAAAAATTAGTAGCATGAACAGTAAAGTCTCGAAGAAGGCACAACATATTAGCGAATTTATTACCGGATAATAGTGTTGAGATGCACCATTCATGCCATAACTTGGCTGTTCAGAGCTGTATCCAGGTCCCGTTTGCAACTGTGAGTTCTCAAAAGCCATAGACCTAGTGTCCTTGTCTGCAAAGAAGGAAAAATTCAAGTTGCAACAATTATTCAGATTCATTTAGCAGAGTGACAAGTTAATTTACCAAAACTAGAGTTGCTGTCAAGGGTCTAACCTGGTGAAATTGAGAGGGCAATACGATCTTGTAAGATTGTCAGCTCAGGAGACAATTCCTCAGTTCCCAAAACCTTCAAGTACTTCATTGCTGTACTTAATTGCCCCTGACTTGCTAAGATTTCAGCATACTTCTCAACAAGCTTGCATAGAGAAGCGCTAAACCGCTTCTGTCTCGTTGCAAGTGCAAATACTATTGTCTTTTCCATTAAATCCTATAGAAAAAAGAACAAACATAAAGCTGCTTAACTGACCAGAGCATAGGTTTGCCAAAACATCACAGACAGCACAATACCTGAAGGAGATCAAAATATGATATGCCATCATGAATATCTGACAGTGTCCTCGACCATATCTCTATTGTTTTATCTATATTCCCAGCACATATAAAACAAAGTGTTGCTGGAAGTGTTTCACCGGCAGCAAAAAGTCTCGAACCAAGTGTGTCACACAACAATGTCCATTCGTCTTGCTGAGCAAACTGTATGAAAAAGGAAAATACGATCAAAATATAAAACCGCATCAAATGAATAGGATGGTCTCTGCCCAGATTTGGCGTAATAGAAGTCCTAAAAAGTAAAAACATGTCTGCTCCATTGGTTTGTATAGCATAAACATGAAATCTGGGGTTTGGACTTACAGTGCAAAGGAGAGCAAGTGTTTCCTTCCACGATTTCAATGGCCTGCTTTTTACAAGGCTCATGAGATCATTGCTAACCATTGCAGAGACAACCTGACATTAAAAGATGTTAGTGTCACAAAAATGTCAATGCAGTAAGAGAATCTCATAAAACTTCATTACCTTAAGGTAAGGCAATTGACTTGTCTTAAGGTATTGATTTCGAGTGCTTTCCCACAGGGAAGTACCACCAACATGGGCAATAACTAATGCATCAGCCATTCTATTAGCAGATATGCAGTGTGCCACAGCAGTCTTGTAATCCCCAACAACCAAAGCGCGCAGAATAGCATCTTCAGAAGACGAGTCAGTACTCTCCTCTAATCCATTTATCGCTGATGGAGATTCCTCCCAGCCTGAAGCAGCTTCATTATTATCAAAGTTATTCCCAGAGGTTGACACAGGAGTTTCAGTTTTCGGACTGGGAAGATTGTTAAAGAAATCTTCTCCATTATCAAATGGTAGCCCTGTGGTTTCTTTCTTCATGGTATTTTGTTCTGTACTTGTAACACTTTCACCTAGGCCAAGAGCAGATACTTGATCAGAAATATCATCCTGCTTGGCAACTTTTTCTTCTACAGGCAGACTGAAACCAAGGTGTGAAAGCAATTTTGTCCTTGCAGCTCCATCCTCTTCAAACATAACCTTCAGAAAACCCCATGTCTCCCTTTCATCATTAGATCTGTTCAAATAAAGGAATGAAGCAAACATTTAGAAAGCATAATTGAATGAAACAAAATCCTTTCATTAACTCGTGGAAATGCCATACTCTAAATCTTGGGATTTCTTGTCACACAGAAGCCTGAGTTGGGATCTCTCCCCATCCTGGATCATAGTCTCAAAATCGGAAGAACGACTGACTAAACCATGTTCAGTAACCACAGTACGCACATAGACCTGGAAAAGAGAACACCTTATACAAAGTAAAGACAGATGAGGAGAAAAAAGTAACATAAACCTACTCAGCACACCTCTGATGGTTTATCTGAGGCATTAGTGGAGTTAAATGAGACCAGCTTCCCTCCAAAACCAAATGACACTCCTCCTCCTCGTTTGTACCATTTTGGAGCTTTCAAAGAAGCTGCTCCATTGTACATTTTTCGAAATAATGTCAAATCAAAATCTATATTATAATATGGAAATGATAAAATAAAGAAAAGAAAGAAAATACAATATAAAATAAATAAACTATCATGTAAGTGCCAAGTTTTTTCCTGACTAAAAACTTAGCAAGCATCAAATGAAGGCTTATTGTGAATAAGAATTATCCTAACAAAATTAATTTCTATGTGCTTTGAGCCAATGTTTAAACAATGACATACATTATAACCACTATGAAGAAAGATACCCATTGTCATTCCTAAAAGAGCCACACTAACCTCTGTACAAAATAATTGCATTTAGCTACAGTGATAGACTGTAACTTTTGAAAAATCAAAAGGTTAATAAACTATCATACCTGCTCCAAAATTGCCATCTTCACCAACATATCGATCACAACCCTGCAAAATAAAAAAGAAATGAAATATTCTCCAAGATTAATAATTAATAAAGTCAAACTGTTGCCACACTACTTATCAATATTCACCACAAACTGGAAACCACAATTTAAAAATCACTGAAAGATATAAATAATTACACTGTAATATAGAGTGTGCTATTGTAAATGCTACACAGTTTCTTTAGTTTGTCAAATCACAACCAAAAAGGAAGAGCATGTAATTGAGGAAAAATCTAAAAAGAAGAAAGCTGTCTGTCTCTTCGAATTAGTCAAATGCTAATTGATGTAGTTACGCAAAATCAAAACAGGAACAGACCTCAATATTATAAATCCCAATCTTTCCATCAAATGAAGATGCTGATATGACACCCGGGCACTTGGGATACCAGTGTACATCAAAATTCCAATTAGTTCCTGATGGCAATTCAGAGACAATCTGCAGAAGCAATTGAAACTTTCTTAAAAAGCTGACGAATTCTTGGCTGTTTCTACAGAGAATTTATAACTCACAGAGGAAAGAAAAAGAGCAGGTATTCCACACAAATTAAATATCAAGTACAAATGCTAAATTTGCCCACCTCTCCTGATACAACATCCCAGCATATAGTGCGGTTATCTTTTGCACAAGTAAGTAGGTAGGAACTGTCAATGGGACACCAGGACATTGCAATGACACCTGACCAGCAGAAATCAGGAATTAAAATTAAAAGATTGTAATGAAGGTATCCAGGAAAAATAAAAACATAAACATAGGGCATCAAAGTGAAGTTAAGAAAGTAATAAGGGTATAGAAAAGCATGCTGCATTAAGTAAATAGGACACAAGTTACTGCCTTTGGTTCAGAAAAGTGCAAAGCAACATATCAGTCGCTTCATGTGTGCTATTTTTCAACCCATAAACAAGAGGGAGAGATTTTCATGACAATTAGCACCAAGAAACAAAAACGTATTCTTGAAAGCCTTCGGGACAGGACTAAAATAAAATCATACAAAGGCTCAGCTAAATGCTTAGGCAGGAGCTAGAATAAACTTAAATCTTTCATCTAAATTAAACTATCAGAGGAGCTCTTAAAAGATTTGCAAAGTACTATCAGCATGCTATTAAAAATAAATGTAAGCAGTACATAGATGCAGCTGTCCAGCTTTAAGAACTTATTTCTAGTGCCCAAATCAAGCTTTTGACAAGAGGCTAAACACAAGCAACTCAAAGAAAAGGAAAAAACAAACAGTTAAGTACACATACCCTTAGTATGCCCCACAAACTCTTTCACTGGAGACATTACATTCCGCATATCCCACATCTGTAACAATATATATCTCAGTTGCAGCTTACATCATGATAAATGCATTATATTAGCAGAAAAGGGCAGACAAACTATACCATGAGTGCAGGTGAACCATCTTCATCAGATGATACAATAAGCTGAGTGGCAAAATCAGGATGCCACTGCAAAACAGAACAGCGCCTTCTAATGGAATCTGAGAAACTGCATGTTTCCAACTAATAAAGGTTAACTAGTAATCAATAATGTACTAAAATAAATTTTCTTTGCAATTAAGGAAAAAGTTCTTACCTTATGACTGGCTTTTGCTTCCTAAGATCCCAAACCACTGAGTTAAAAAGGAAAAGAAAAGAGTAAGTGGCTGATTGTTCCACCTTAAAGTGGATAGTTAACTATCATATCATATTGCTCACCAGTTGTTCCATTCAGTGATGTGGATGCCAATACATGCTGAACCTTGCTGTTCCAGGATACATATGAAATTTCACTTTGGGCTGATGATCCACTACCCTACAAAAATCTCACAATTATTGTGTCCGCATTCAGCAGATTGTCCACTTAAAGTTACATTAGAAGAAATACACCCAAAGATGGATCTAGGCAGAATGACACAATAGGATAGAGAAGCAAGAAATGACATTTTATAATTAAATCATCATTCAATTTCTCCTTCTAAATTATATAAAAAGTCCATAAGCTGGGTAATACATCTCTGGATTAACTCCTTTTACGTACTAATAAAGGCTTTCTGTAATTTTGCAATGCTCTTTGTGCAAGTAAGGCAACAGCCAAACTTGGAGGATATATATGCACTTCCAGGTGTTGGACATATTCTTTGTGCATTTTTAACCACATTTTTATATACTACACTAGATTCTCTAACTAATACTAGAGAGTTGTCTAGATGAAAAGAATACTTGATTCCCTTCAGCAAAGATTTATAGCAGTTCAGGAGATAAGTTAGCAAAGATTTCTGCAGCACAATTGAATGCTTTGTTTCGAATGATTTTATTAAAATTTAATTTTCTTTTAGCTGTTTTGGTCTTCAGAAAGTTGGAAGCAGGAGATATAAACATGGTTCTAAGAGAAGTTGTTACTACAAAGGCTTGCAGACTATTTTTTACATCTTAAGTTGCTACATACCTTCAGAGGAGGATAATGGGTAGGTTCTACCGGATTTGCAATATCCCATATGCAAATTTTGCCTTCATCAGCACCAGAAGCAAGGAGATTTGAAGTAAATACATTAAACTCCAAACCACGAACCTGAAAATTTAGAAACAGCATAATACTCACTGTTATCACCAGATTTCCAACAAAACAGCAAATGTCATAAAGGAAATCAAGCATGGGACATGCAATTATGCTACTTACAGGCCCACTATGGTTAGAAAGATGGCCAACAAATGCATTTTCAGAGGCTTCAGGACCTTCTCGACTTTTGCCAGAGCTGGTGGAAAAAATTAAAACAAAATTATATTGACATAGATAATCATAGCTAAGCATGCAATTAGATATTTAAAGGAATTTAAAATTTGTGAATAGTCACTAGAAATTTAAAATTTTTATTAGCAAGGTCCTTAGCAAACAAAGATGGCAAGTATCCAGAAATGGCCTAATAAAGCAATAACTAGCATGGAAAAATAGAACTTATTACTTGATCTGAAAACAATAAATCAAATTATTCAATACAAGTCAACCATTTTTTACTTCAAAAATAATTTCTTTTCCACACGATTCACTAGTAAAAAGATCAAATAGTGGCATAGATTAACAACACACTAAATGACTGCGTATCCAATGAAATTCTGGTAACTCTAATTCTTTTCCAGTGTCCGAATTGATAATGGTTTACACTCAGCCACAGACACATGCAATGAGTACAATTCAATAACTCAACACAATAAAGTAAAAAGTTCACATCTTTAGCTACTAAATTGATTGACAAATAAAATAAAATTCAATAACATAAATAAAGAAAATGATGGTATGGAAATTACGAGATCAAACGCCTGGGATTCCACAGCCCAATGGTGCCATCAACAAGACCACCGGCGATGAGGCCGAGAGAGAATTCTTCGGAATTGGGCAGAGCCTTCCCCCATGACAAGCGGTTGAACCGCTCGGAGCTTGCCACCGAGCCGGCCAAGATGAGCTCCCGATCATCTGATGTGAAGTCGAGCTCGAAGATGTCGAGATTGGCCGTGGAACTGAATGACAGATCGACCGCACCCGCCATGGTCCCGGCCGCGAGGTACGGCGCGTCGGGCGCGAACGCCGCCGACGCCGATCTGTTCACCGCCTTCACAATCGCCATGGCTCACCGATCAATCCAACAACGAAGGCGTCCTCCCTTGTGTTTGTAGAGATTGCGAAATGGATCTAGGGTTGGGTTTGAGAATTGGGGGAGAATTCACAGTGCGGGACAACAGATCGAGAGCGTGTGTTATTGAATTGTTTGGTTACGAATCGGAACTTTTTTAGTGTTCATTCATTCTTTCCTTCTGTTACTTCAGTTCGATTTCGTCACCTTGCAGGCGTTTTGATAGAAGCCCAAAGGGTGAATTCGGTAATTCACGCTTCCCCAATGCTTAAGTGCTTAATAACAGTTAACAACACCAATTTTATTTTATTTTATTTTTTCCCTTTTTCAAAGAGAAATTACAACTCTATTTGATTATAGTACATAGTAAATCATGTTATTTATAAATTCAAATGAAAATAAGATCAATGTTTATGTATAAATTTTATTAGGTTAAAATTCATATTAATGGACAATCCTATTTGATAACATAATTAATTATCAATCATCATTTTTTATTTGCTTAATCAGTATTAACTATGTGATTTAGTTAAATAGTCAATAATGTTTATGATACATAATATTTATTTTTATTATATAATATATAAAGAAACTATTTAACAAATATGTTTTGAAAATTAGACAGGTAATGAGTAATAATAATAAATATATTAAAGAAATTAGATAGATTATGTTAATGAGAAATTAAGAATTTTTTAATAAATAATTTAAAAGTAACAAATATTTTATAAAAAATGACTCGATTAATATTACATTTTTTCTTTTTATGATGTGACATTTTTTCATTCCTGATGTATAACATCTATACACTTACCATGGATTAAAAGTAATAGTAGTTTAGAAGATAGTTTAGGCGAAAAGTTACAGAAATATGATTTTGTTTTTATTAGTAATATATAGAAGTATAGAGGTAGATAAATTAGTTTTTTTTTTTTTTGAATGCTACTGACTCTATTACATTGTAGTATCTGTTCAAATATACTTTCTCAACCTAATGAAGCACAAAGAGTCAACAACGCCTCCACTGAGGCTCGATCTCATGACTTCCCACATGGGAGAGGTCACTACATGCCATCTGAGCACAAGGTGCTTGGCAGATAAATTAGTTTAATTATTATAATAATTATTAAATTTTATATAATAATAGCTTGGAAGGTAGTTAGACAGGAAGTTACAAAAGTATAATTTAAGTATAATTCAGCCTCTTCTCTTACAATATAAGTAGTAGATTTCATAGAACAGCTCATTAGCCTAATTAGTGGTACCTAATCTAAAAGCTAGGTGAAATGTTACAAGGTACAAATGTATCATAATGGGCCGGTACACATTATGTAATGTGGGCTAAGCCCAATATATCAAAGTATAAACCCCGGCCCAACAAGTTCACCATTTCAACTATGAATATGATTTCTCCGGCGGCTGAACCGGCGGCGTGTGACGGTCGGAAGGGAGCTTTATTTTGCCCAGCGACGGCTGAGGAACCAGCGTGATATTCTCGCAGTTGCAGATCTCGATCATGAATCCGTCCGGGTCCTTGAAGAACAGCTGATCTATGGCTTCTCCTTCCCCTTCACCCACCGTTCTTTTCATGTATTTCACCTTCAGCTCCTTCAGCCTTCTCTCCATGGCTTCCATGGCGTCACACTAACAGAAACCATAGAAACCGATGAATAACTTAAAGAAAAAAATGGTAAATGGAAGGAATGAAGGTTAAGTACTTGGAAAGAGATGTGGTTATCCATGGGGTCTAAAGATTGTTGATCTGTGGGATGGGGGAGACGATCTTGATCTCCATCCTTAGCTTGAACCAGGTGAATCCCGACGCCGTAGTTGAAGAGCCACGCGCCGTCGAAGCCGTCGAACGCCGGCGGCCGCTCCACCTCCACCAGCCCCAGAACCTTGGTGTAGAAATCCACCGAGTCTTTCACGGATCTGCACAGCCTCGACACGTGGTTCAGCGCCATTGATGGCGTCTCATCGTCTTCTTCAAGCTTTCTGCTATGGCTTCTCTCTTCCCGCAGGCTCTGCATCTTCTAGTGATCTGAAAAGTGGCTAGCTAGCTCTCAATGCCTGGAGATTCTGGGTTTTTATACTTCTTTAAGAGTCATCAATGGCGGTCGTAGGCGATGTATATATTGTCCTGGGGACGTGACACGTAGAGACAATTTGCATGGTTACACATCATACGTGTAACCAAGTCTGAGGGTGTCTCATATGAACTTATTAACAGATATTGTGATCTAGTGACACGAATAAATAAGAGATCAGTCTATATAAAATTTTAAATTTGATTCTTTGTGAGAGTTATAGACCCAATTGTTTAGACCGACTATGACAGTTAAGATCACGAAATGAACTTTATACAAAACACACACTCATATAGTGATGGCAAGTTTTCTGTAAATTAATGTCTTTTACACTTTGTTTGAAAATATACAGTATTATTTAGTGTAAATATTACACACATATACTAATTAAGTATATGTACAAATTAAAGAGTTAATCTAATTGATTTGACCTAGCTAGCTAGCCACTGCTGCTGCATCGAAGCCCATCTACAAGTCCACTTCTTGCTGCTAAAACTTCTTTGAACAGATGATCTGTCTGCTTTCTCATCCCTTCCAGATGTTCTTCAAATCTCTTTAATTTTTTTCCCAGTTCTTTTGCACCAGAATCATCTCCTTCCATGGCTGCTGCCACCTTAGCTACTGATTCGTTTATCTCTTTCACCTCCTTCACCGCGCTCTGCTGCTTCTCTGTAACTTCCTTGATGAACACGGAATCCAGGCGTAGCAGTAAGGGTTCTTGATCAGATCCAAGAACCGATTTTCTCAGTTCCATGAAGGGCTTCAGATCGCTGCACAGCCCGGATAATACGGCCCCCAGAATCCAGAACGAAACGCGTTTCGTGATCAGAAGGGATTGGTGGATTGCCCTTTCTTTATTGTCAGAGATTTCTTCGTAGTCAACTCTGTTCTTCATCTCTGCGAGTTTCAAATCCTTCCGGAGATCCTGCGCCGGAATTCCTCTCAGATTCTTGGCCGCCGCCGTCGACGGCGGCGACGGAGAATGGTGGTGGGCTTGGGTCAAGGCGTGGGAAAGCGAGAGTCTGGCTTGATTGAGATGAGAGATGGAAGAGGTGACTTGATTCAACAATCCCAGAAGATGAAAGCTGAAACTGAGATATTCTTCAGTGATCGCCGGTCCCCAGAGGGGGAGAGGGTGGTTTAAAGCCGCCACCGTCTTCACAAACGCCGTATGGATCGACCCCAGCCCCTCCAAGCACGATCCAATCCTGCCCAGAGTCCAGAACTCCGATCCCGGCAGCGCTATCTGGTTCAAGAAACTCGATACCCCAGACCGGAACTCCCATAGAGCTGCAGCCTCGTGATCGGCGGCGGCAGCATCTGGGTTCCGGTGGTGGTTGTCCAGCTTGGAGTGGTTCTTCAAGAAATATTGGCTTAACTTGTGCACCGAGAGTACCATAACACACAATAACAAAACCCAAAAGAGGACGAAATGCAAAGCTTTAATTTTGGTCAAGAAAAGGACGATGGTGAGATTTATATACAGATGCGATCAAGTTGTGGGCAAGTTGGCGACGAATACTGGTTTACAATAAGCTAAAACGTGGGCAGTATTGAATATTTCGGTCAAATTAACCAGCTTGGCTGTCTTTGAGAGGTCGAAAGTTCGAACCTCTCTTGGAACAATTAATCTGGTCAGCGTTTTACTCCTTAATTTGACCGATTTAGTATAAACGGAAATTAGTTAAAGGTATAGTGTCCAGGTCAGAAGTTCGAACCTCCTTTTGAAACAATTAATCTGGTCAACACTTTGCTCTTTAATTAAACTGACTCGATATAAATAAAAATTAATTAAAGCTGTCTCCTACAGGGACATACTCAAGACATCATGTGGTATTACCAAAAAATATTTGGGTCAAATGTATTGTTCTTATTATCCGTTGCCATGTTTTTGTCTTACGTTGCCATTCCACACGCCTCGCCTTTGCAGGGATTCAGGGTTGGAGAGTTGAGCCCCACTTGGGGGTTACATACTTATATACTTCAACGTATTCCCCACGCAATATTATTTAGGAGTACTTGAAATGAGGTTGACACTTGATGATGATGATGTATTTCTAAAATATGTAGCCCATGGTTTAGTTATACTTGTAAACATTTTTTCTTTCTGATTAAGGAAAAGAGAAACCGACCGTTGCTGTTTGAGATTGTGTATTGAGTGAACTTTGTAATTATAAGTTTATAACTGGTCAGTTCAAGTTAAGAAGGTTAATAAAACACCCATACAGAAAGTTGAACTTATAATATGATTTTATGGTTATGAAATTAGCCGATGACAAAATTGACTGAGGTTACCCTAGTTATACTTATATATTGATTTACAATAAAACTTACAATTGTTGCCTGAAAGTGCATTATATGAAACTCACTTTATGACTTCAACTGACAAAATATTATATTGAAATCAATCATTATTGTGTGGTCTATTATGGACCATATTTTGTATAGTGTAAAATAATGCACATTTAGTACAAAAATAATGTACATTTAGTATATTAAAAAGGAATAAGGTTCAAATTGGCTACTGAACGTAACCTGAAAATGCAATTAGGCCACTGAACGAAAAAAAAAAAAAAAAAAGTGCAATTAGGCCACTGAACACTCCAAAAATGTGCAATTTCACCTGATAGCAGGTTACCCTCAATTTTAGCAGGTTATTTGCTTACGTGGCAGCTGAGTTGGCATTTTTAATAAATTTTAAATCATTTTTAATAAATTTTTATTTAAAAAATTTTAAAAAAATAAAAACGATTTTATTTTATTATTTATTTATTTTTTTCAATTTTTTATAAAATTTATTATTAAAAATTATTAAAAATTATTTAAAAATTATTTAAAATGCCAACTCAGCTGCCACGTAAGCAGGTAACCTGCTAAAACTGATGGTAACCTACTATCCGGTGAAATTGCATACGTTTGGAAAGTTCAGTGACCTAATTGCACTTTTTGGAGTGTTCAGTGGTCTAATTGCACTTTTTGTTCGTTCAGTGGTCTAATTGCATTTTCAGGTTACGTTCAATGGCCAATTTGAACCTTATTCCTATTAAAAATATACTTTTTGTTATGATCCACAGATAACAATGTGTGGACCATAATTTGCCTATTCAAATGGGTTGGGCCATCTGTTATAAGTTGGGCTTTCACATGGGTCTATTCGATTTTGTTTATGATTTTTGTTTTGACTTTTGGCAACAAGAAATGGGGTGACCCATATGCTAGCAAAGTAGGCTCAAAATGGTTACTGGATCAAAAGCCCACATTTATCGGGCACGATACACTTCTCAGTCGGATCGAATCTACGGCATCTATCATTGCTCGATTACCAATTTACCATTCCACGGAGAGGAAATTGCTCACAATTTCTGCTCAAACCCTAAGCAGGAAGAAGAAGGTTTAGAAGGCAACAATGGTGTGCATACGCAAGGCGACGATCGACGACTTGCTGGCGATGCAGGCGTGCAATCTGATGTGCTTGCCGGAGAACTATCAGATGAAGTACTACTTCTACCACATCCTGTCATGGCCACAGCTGCTCTACGTGGCGGAGGACTACAACGGCAAGATCGTTGGCTACGTCCTGGCCAAGATGGAGGAGGAGACCTCCGAGTGCCACGGCCACATCACCTCCCTCGCCGTCCTCCGCACCCATCGCAAACTCGGCATTGCCACCAAGCTCATGACCGCTGCTCAGAACGCCATGGAACAGGTCATCTCGCCTTTTACAAAACTTCTATTTCACTTTACTTTGATCCTCTGATTTTGGTCTGCTCGTTTGTGTTGTTTATATTGACTTCCAAGCTCATGAAAAATGCTGAGCTCAACTATGAGTCCATTCTGAGAATGAACTTAACTATAGTTAGAAATTTCAGAGTAGAATTTACACAAGCGTGTTCATTACTTTCTGCTATTTAAGAATGATACTTCCATTGGTAAACCTATAGAATGCCCCAGAGCCCTTAGACATACATGAAAGCAAGCATTTTAGGAATTTGAGCTTGATGAAGAAATTGAAGGGGTGAGTAAAGGATGTGATTTAAGGAGTTTGATGGGATGATAGAGAGAGTAAGAGGGTAAGTGGAGGATGTCATTTAATGAACTTATGTGGCAAACAGTTAAACTGATTATGCTATTGGCTCTCAAATAGTGTCAAATGGGAATCTGTTAGATTTTCGGTGTGCTGCTGATCATGTGCTTCTACTTCTTTTTTTAATATAAGTTCCGTGGTTTAATAGAGATTTGGAAGTTTATTCTAGTTTTTGTCCGTTGAAATACTGGGCATAGGAAGCTATTGTTTGTCGACTAAACTGAACTTGATGTGGGAATTAATATTTTTTAACAATGCTGAAATTTCCTTGCTGTGTTTTGGTTTCATCTGCTTCTGCCTGAACTTCTGTTTTAGTTGCTGGCATTATTTTGGCTTATGGCTTTGTGAAAATGCATGGTAGAATTGCTAGGAATGTCTTATAATGCTTCTTAATGAGTCAGTGCTTGAATCATAGACACGTTATTAACATTTGCTTGACAAGCTACAACCACATAGAATGAAATTAAGGAATTTAAAATTTAAATATAGGTCTGCTGGCATCACTATTACTTTCCATAAGGAAGGTCTCAGGTTCAAGTTCCATCCCAATCAGGGGTAGTGCACACAAGACAAAGCTCATTCCTTTATTCATTAATTGACATGTTTTAGTAGATTAAAAAACTCATGTCTTTATGCCAATTGCTGATATTTTTAACAAATGATTTGATTTAAAGTGAGCATTTTGGTCACCTTGAGGTGATTATGATGCACAGGATTTAGGTAGGGTTAGTGATTTTGGTCTTCAGCAGAGGATTATGTGGGCTACTATGCCATAATTTCCTATTGTAAGTGTGATTAAAGTAAGAAATTAACTATGAACAATATACTTGCTTATAGAAGCAGTAACTCACAGCTTGGTGAGATATTGAGTCTTATTGTTTTGTGGTTGTATAATTTTGGAGCTGAAGAACAAGAAGTGAAACCATGCAGATGGCCTGTGTTCTATATTGCGCTGGAACATATTTTCCTGTCATATCAAACCAATTTCTGGTTCATCTTTGGTTCACTTTCTAACTCACACATCTCTCTAGTAGGTGTTTGGGGCTGAATATG